AAACTCTTTCTCTAACTCTTCCAAATGAATAAAATACATCTTACAAAAGTTTCCAAATTCATACTTCAATTCCAATAGGCAATCACATATTTTCAGAATGGAGATAAATACAATGGAAAATATTTTATTCATTAAAATGTGCAATATATATTAACAAGCAATTTGTCATTATTGATTTTTTAAATTAGTATTTTAAATTTCTCAATTTTAATCTTTACTACAATAAATATCAACAGACATAACACCCAAATGAAAGCTCCTCAATATTTTTTTAAGATTTATTTATTTCTTTGAAAGGCACAGTTACAGAGAGGCAGAGGCAGGTGCAGGGGCCCAAGGACTTGGGCCACCTTCTACTGCTGTCCCAGGGCACAGCAGAGAGCTGGGTGGGAAGTGGAGCAGCCGGGACTCCAACTGGCGCCCATATGGGATGCTGGCACTGCAGGCTTGGCTTTACCTGCTACACCACAGCGCCGGCCCCCTCAATATATTTTAAATATATAAAGGGATCCTGCAACCAAAATGTTAGAAGCACTGTCACTGGTTTAGGAAGAGACTAAAAATAAGGAAGGAGGCCAAGAAGACAGCTTGTGAGCATGAGTGCCTGACTGTGGAAGACACCATGCTACGTGGAGAGGCAGACATGGAAAACGCGCTGCCTGCCCTCACTTACACGTAAAAACACTGCTGGGGGCATCTGGCGAACAAACCAGAGGACGGAAGGTCTCTGCCTCTGCCTTTCAAATACAATGAAAGTGAAAAATGAAACGTTAAAGCTGCTTTTGAAGAAGTCTACCTCGCAGCAGCAAGCGCAGGTTACCAGCTGGTCAGAGGATGCAAACCTGCAGCTATGGCAGTCAGTTCTGCACACCTGATGTGCCGCGTGGTGACCCCGTTAATAATAAAGGACTGTAGGCCCGCGCCGCAGCTCACTAGGCTAATCCTTCATCTAGCGGCGCCGGCACACTGGGTTCTAGTCCCGGTCAGGGCGCCGGATTCTGTCCCAGTTGCCCCTCTTCCAGGCCAGCTCTCTGCTGTGGCCAGGGAGTGCAGTGGAGGATGGCCCAGGTGCTTGGGCCCTGCACCCCATGGGAGACCAGGAGAAGCACCTGGCTCCTGCCATCAGATCAGCGTGGTGCGTCGGCCGCGGCAGCCATTGGAGGGTGAACCAACGGCAAAGGAAGACCTTTCTCTCTGTCTCTCTCTCACTGTCCACTCTGCCTGTCAAAAATAAATAAATAAATAAATAATAACAATAATAATAATAAAGGACTATAAGGCTGCAGTTTCCTGAGAGTGCTCTCAATTCTCCTCACCAAAAGAAAGGCAGGAGGGGAAGACAGAAGGGAATCACGTGAGGTGACAGGCACGCATGAGCTTACAGCAGTAGAGACCAGACTCCAGGCTGCCCATCCTGGACATCTACGACACCGTCAGCTGGACCTCAACAAGGCTGGGGAAGAACGGGCGATGGCCGCCAGTTACATAACTTACTAAGGAACATTGAGATGTATATTAAAATGTAAATCATACCTCAATAAAGCTGTTTTAACAATGCACGCCTGAAACAGGCCCAGCTGCTCCACTTCCAACCCAGCTGCCTGCTGATGGCCTGGGAAAGCAGAAGAAGATGGCCCAGTGCTTGGGCCCCTGCCACACATGTGGGAGACCCGGATGAAGCTCCTGGCTTCGGCCTGGCCCAGTGCTGGCCGTTGCAGCCATTTGGACAGTAAGCCAGCAGACACAAGATCTCTCAGTTTCTCTTTTTCTCTCTGTTTTTATTTTTTTTTTAAAGATTTATTTATTTATTTGAAAGCCAGAGTTACACAGAGAGGAGAAGCAGAGAGAGAGAGAGAGAGAGAGAGAGAGAGAGGTCTTCCATCTGATGGTTCACTCCCCAATTAGCTGCAACGGCCGGAGCTGCACGGATCTGAAGCCAGGAGCCAGGAGCTTCTTCTGGGTCTCCCACATGGGTGCAGGGGCCCAAAGACTTGGGCCATCCTCCTCTGCCTTCCCAGGCCACAGCAGAGAGCTGGATCGGAAATGGAGCAGCCGGGACTCGAACCTGCGCCCATATGGGATGGCACTTTAGGCCAGGGCATTAACCTGCTGCGCCACAGTGCCGGCCCCGTCCCTTTCTCTTTGTAACTACAATTTTCAAATAAATAAATCTTTTTAAAAAAGAGCAACTTATGTAATACTACGTCTAACAGTACAATGCTAGGCCTGGAACACATAGAAATGTTAAGATATCTGTTAGTAACAGTACTGAAGAGCTGGGTAGGAGCAAAGCTGTACTGAAGTAAAGAAATTACTGCAGGAGCCGGCGCAGTGGGTTAAAGCCCTGGCCTGAAGTGCGGGCATCCCATAGGGGCGCTGGGTTCTAGTCCCGGCTGCTCCTCTTCCTATCCAGCTCTCTGCTGTGGCCTGGGAAAGCAGTGGAAGATGGCCCAAGTCCTTGGGCCCCTGCACCCACGTGGGAGACCCAGAGGAAGCTCCTGGTTTTGGATCAGCGCAGCTACGGCTGTTGTGGCCATCTAGGGAGTGAACCAGCGGATGAAAGACTTCTCTCTCTCTCTCTCTCTACCTCTCTCTGTAACTCTTTCAAATAAATAAAATAAATCTTAAAAAAGAATGAAATTACTCCAGAGTAGCTTGAATCTACAAAACAAATAAACAGATACTGAAATGATAAATTAGGCTTATATGACAGAAGCGATAAATACATACTTCCATCCTCTTTAAAAGACATAATGTCTTTAAAAGACATAAAGTAATAATTATAATAATGTATTACTTGGTCTACAACACTTACAGATACAACACGTATAACCGTAACACTAAAAGAAGGCAGGGAAACCAAGTAAAACTACACTGAATAAAGCTCTCCATCTCACTGGAATCAGCATAAATCTAAAGCGGATTCTACTACGACACGACACAGGCAGGAAGTTCAAAAAGTTCATGGGAAAAAGAATTAAAAGATAATGCATATTTTCTTTTTCAAGACCCCTTACACACGGTCAGCCCTACAATAGCTACTAAGACAGTAACCAGGAAAAACATCACTAGAGAACTAAACGCCGCATTACCAAATACTGACTACACGCGACAGAGGGCAATAGAGGGACAGGGGACAAAAGACAGAAGAAACAAGCAGGAGACACCAATCCAATTCGATAAATACCAGCACTACATGTGAATTAATTTACAATCAAAAGGCAGAGATCAGCAGACTAGATTAAAGATGACCCAGCTATATGGTGTGTACCGGAGGCACACTTTAGGTTCAGCGGTACAAACCAGCAACCACAAGAAAGCTGGAATGGCGGTGCCAGCATCAGGCAAAATCCACTTTAAAATAGAAAATGTTACTGGAGAGGCAATCGGCCCTCTAGACAGACACGACTTAGCTACTCGCGTACCCGCAGAGCAGCAGTCGGCAGGGATGAAGGGTCGGACCACACACCGCACTGGGGTCCCAGCCCAGACCTGGAGCGGGGCGTGGGCTGCAACCTGGCGGGCGGGACCAAGCCCGCATCTCCACCCGGCCACTCAACACCGCTCCAGCCGCCTTCTCCACCTCCCACCTCCCGCGGGCGATCACCCAGCCTCCAGCCTCCTCCGGAGCACATCCTGACCCCGGCACTTGCCGCCCACGCTGACTGGAGCCCGTGTGTCCCGGGCTCCCTGTGGACTGCATCCACGAGCAGTCACGCGGCCCGTCCCTAAACCAGCCACCCCTCGCCGCCCGCCTGTGTTACCCAGCAAGTGTCCAGTCCCCTCCAAATCCTCCCTCATCACCCTACTCCTGTCATTCTGGCTGCTTCCTGTCCTCAGAAAGCCATCAAACTGAATTTCTAATATCAGCCAACTTCTAAAATCGGGACACACGCACACACGAGAGAGGGCAGTCCGAGAGTGAATAATAATTACCTGCTGGTGGGATTCTATGTTATTTTATTTTTTCTTGTATAAAAAATCACTTCTCATTCATGTGTTACATACTAAACCATGGACAGCTGTGAAAAACCCCTCCGCTCCGGCACAGAGGCAGAAGTCGCATGCAAAGTATGTAAGGTGCACACACGAAGTCCCCGGCCAACAAAGAACACGCAAGACACGCGAGCCTGCGGTAACCGAGCGCTTTGCCCGACACGCGCCGCCCGCCTGCACCCACTGCAGTCCGTCCTCCCACGCGTGACGGACACACGCCGCCCCGGAGCCTGGTCGGCAGGGGACACGGCCGCCCTCCCACGGGTGACGGACACACGCCGTCCCGGAGCCTGGTCGGCAGGGACACGGGCCGCCCGCCCTGCACCCACTGCCCTCCGTCCTCCCACGGGTGACGGACACACGCCGTCCCGAAGCCTGGTCGGCAGAGGACACGCGCCGCCCGCCCTGCACCGACCGCACTCTGTCCTCCCACGCGTGACGGACACACGCCGTCCCCAGCTGCCACCCGACGCTACGGGGCAGTGCGGCAGCCCGCGACCCCGCGTGGTTCCTGGTGGGCAGGGGACACGCGCGGCAGGCACGGCACCCTCGCGCGGGCCGAGACCCGGGTCCCGCGGAGCCGGCGCAGGGGGGCTCCGGGCGGCCGCGCACCTGCTCCACCGCAACCGCCCCGACACAGGCCCACGGAAGGACGCGCGCGGGGCAGACGTCCTGCAGCCAAGGGCGAATCAGGCCAGGGTCCTCTCAGCCCCACGGAAGGACACGCGCGTGGACAGGCCCACGGAAGGACGCGCGCGGGGCAGACGTCCTGCCGCCAAGGGCGAATCAGGCCAGGGTCCTCCCCGCTCAACTCCGCATCCCGAGTCCAGCCTCCAAGCGGGTCGTGGCCGTCTTCAGCGGGCCCTCCGCGTCCCACGCGACTCGAACCCTGATTTCCGGCCCGGGAGCGGCCGTCCAGCAGCGCTCGCCGGTGCCCGGAGTCTCCGTGCCGGCGGGGCGCCAGGGCCGCGGTGTCCACGGCTCGGCCCGGGGCCCGCACCTACCTCCTCCCCGGGCTGCGCGGGCCCCGCGAGGACTCGAGGCTCAGGCACCGAGAGCGGACGCCCCAGCTCGCCGGCGCGCAGGGGAAGGGCAGACGGCGCCGGCCTCAGCGGGCGGACCGAGGGCGGGAACGCGCGACGCCGCCGGCCCCAGGGCGCCGGACAGCCTCCCTCGGCGTCCCCGCCCCGAACGCAAGGACGCATGCGCCTCCCTGAGTGGCGGGCCCGCGGCGGCCAGGGACTTCCGGGGGCGGGACCTCCGGCCCGGAAGGACGGGCCGGCTCGCGTGACAAGTCGGCCCGGTGGTTCCACGCGTAAACGTTCGCGGAACGACTGAATAAGAGTGTGTTTGCTCTGACTCCACGATCAGGGAGCCCTACTGTGTGCGAAATCACAACAGCCAGAATCTGGGGCGCGCCCTTGACGAATGTCGCGCGCACCCTCCGAATAGAAGTACTGAGCGTGCGAGCTTGGCGAGAAAGTCCTAGTAAAGTTTTTGTCCCTTTCTTTTCCTAAAGGTTTATTATTTATTTGAAAGGCAGAAAGAGAGAGGCCCTCCATCCTTGGTTCACTCCCCAATTGGCCGTAACGGCAGGAGCTGCACCGACCAGGAGCCACGAGCCAGGAGCTCCCTCCAGGTCTCCCACGTGGGTGCAGGAGCCACGAGCCAGGAGCTCCCTCCAGGTCTCCCACGTGGGTGCAGGAGCCACGAGCCAGGAGCTCCCTCCAGGTCTCCCACGTGGGTGCAGGAGCCACGAGCCAGGAGCTCTCTCCAGGTCTCCCACGTGGGTGCAGGGGCCCAAGCACTTGGGTCATCTTCCACTGCTTTCCCAGGCCACAGCAGGGAGCTGGATCGGAAGTGGAGCAGCCGGGACTCGAACCGGCGTCCGTAAGGGGTGCGGGCACTGCAGGCGGCGGCTTTACCCGCTACGCCACAGCGCCGGCCCCTGTCCCTTTTTGAAACTTTACTTTCCCTCTGGTCTTCAAAAAAAAAAAAAAAAAATCAAGCTTAGTTTGGCCAATTCTAGATGTGGCTTCCCAGAGTCGGAATCCAGTCTCCTGCGACCCGAGGCTCCATCGCCACGTCAGCGACGTCAAGGAGTCGCAGGGCAGAGGGGCGCCCGGGCCGCGGAGCGCCCCACTCATCAGTCAGCCGCAGGCGAGACCCACGCGAAAACGAGACTCTTCCCCACTTCCTCGGCGGCCACCGGAGAAGGAAGCCGGCGGCCCACGCGCCCTGAGCCCGGCCAGGCCCCGCCCCCGGCGCCCCGGAAGTGGCGTCACGGCGCCCCGCGCTCGTCCCCGGATGTAGGGTTTTACTTCCGGATTCTTAGCGCGGACTCAGCACCGCGGGTCCCTGCGCTGTCTGCACATGCGCGACGGCTCTGTTCCTTCTTCCTCCACTTCAGTGGGTTCTGCCGTCCGGGGAGCCGCTGCCGCCGCCGCCGCGGAGTCGGGAAGTTCAAGATGGCCGCCGCGGAGGCCCCGTCGCTGCGGGAACAGCCGGAGTGAGTGCTGGGCTCCCGCGGGCCGGAGGCCGCAGCCCGGGGCCGGGCGGCTGCCGAGGGGGACGCGGCGGGCCCCTGCGCGGCCGGGCGGGCGGGAAAGTTCAGGCCCGATGGCGACAGCCAAACTTTGCCTTTGGGCGGGCGGCCCCGGCGCCCGGCGCGGCTGGGAAGGCTGCCGCGGCCTTGCCGCGCGTTGCTGCCCCGGGAGGAGTCGGCGCGAGCGGCCCCTACAGGTCTGGAGCGCGTGGCGGCCGCCGCGGCGGCGAGCTCGCCTCCGGTGCCTGCCGGGCCCGAGCGGGGGCGGCGGCGTGGGCGCTGGGGGCCCGGGGCCGCGGCGGCGGGCTTGGCCGGCTGGGGTGCGGGGTCCGCCGGGGGCACCCCGGGGCCAGGGGGCTGCATCTCCCCACCCCGGACTCGCCTCCCGCCAGCACCCGGTATTGTTATTTATTTATTTTCCTTCCTCTCTCTGTCCCCTCCGTCTTATTGGCTGCTTATTTGCCGACTTGCAAACTTGCGGCAAAGTTAAGGTAGAGCCTTTGGGTTTTGAGGCCCGGCCCTGCCTTCGGAGCACGGCTGGAGGAAGTAGTGGGAAGTGCTGGCTACTTCCAAACCAAACCACTTGGTGCCTGTAATTAAGCTCGTGTGCGAGTCCGCGCGGCCGGGGCAGAGCAGGCTTGGGCTGCGACGGCCAGCCGTTGCTTAGCGAAATTGCTGCTTATGCTAGGAAAACTCAAAATAAGACCTTTAGAAGACAGAGTGGATTTCCAGACGGCATTTCCGTGGCGACCGCCCATGCACCTGCAGCGCCCCGCGCTAGACGGAGTGTGTCCTGAGCGACTTCGCGGAGCAGTGCGGGCCTGGGGTGCCGCGCCCGTCTGTTGGGTTTAGAGGGGTGCAGCGTGTTTCCGCCAGATCCTTGGCCGGGGACCCCCCAGTGCTGGTGATAATGAGCATCTTTGTCCAGGCCCTGCGCCGAGATGGCGCTATTGGCCGCTCTCGGGGGCGCCGGGCTGTCCGTGGGGTGTGTGGGGCCGTGTGTGTCCTGGCTTGGTGGAGCTGAGCGTATTTGACACACGAGCACGCACTGGGCTGGCCGCTCGTGAGGCCGCAGGTGTGCCCGGGCGCAGTGGTCACGGTGGGAGAGCGTTCCGAAGTGGACGTTCTGTAGAGTGGACACGGAGGGGAGAGTTTCGGGTGGCTGTTCCCGCTGGCCGCGTGCGATGAGGCGCTGCCTGGGGTCCCCTGGGCCTCGCCCTTTGCTTTCTGCGGATGCACCGAGCCCCTGCAGCCCCCGGGAGAGACCCCAGACTCCAGCCGTAGGTGCTGGGGGTCGTTTGGGGAGAGAAGCAGCAGCCTATGAAAGATCGCTTTCTCTGAAGCTCCTCTTTCAACTAAATAAAAATGAGTAAGTTGACGTTGTAAGCTCTCTCGGTGCGGCCAGTGTCTAGTTCAGCCCCTCTGCGCTTGCTTGCGCTCGCTGAAAGCTGTGGCCATTGACTGCTTGAACCCTTGCCGCAGCCCCTGGAGGTGGATACAGTTACTGGCGAAAGCTGAAACATACGGATATTAAGAAACTAGGCTTGCACCGAGTACTGCTGCCCTGGAGCTGGCCCACCTCTGTACATTACTGCTGCTTCTTAAAATCCCGTTTTAGGGAGGCCGGCATTGGGTGCAGCATTTTAAGTGACCTTTTTGGGCACCTGCATCCCACATCCCATATCGGTGCGAGTCGCTGCTCTCCACTTCTGACTTCCTTCTGATGCCTGCCCCGGGAGGCAGCAGGTGATGGGTGGGCTGCTGGGGTCTTCTGCCACCCCCCGGAGGACTCTAGCTGCTAGCTTGGCTGTGTTGCAGGCATTCCAGAGTGAACCTGTGGGTGCGGGGTCTTTCTTTCTCGCCCACCCTCTTTGAGTAAATGAAGTAAGTTCTTATTTCTATCCAGTGTCCCAGAAAGATTTTTTTGTGTTGGATGGGTCATTTCTAATTCGTTGAAACTAATTACCCAACCTGATTTGGAAAAGGGGGCAGATAGGAGGTCTCTTTTAAGATTAGTTGGTCTTTTGGGTTGATTCTCATTTTTACTTTGCGTTAATTTCAATTGTGTATTTAAAGTGCTCTGATTTGCCAGAGAAGCCGAGTTCATCATTTTCCTTGTAAACGAGTAGTCTGTCCCTTTGCTACCATTTAATTTTTGAAGTTGTGTGGCTTGACAACTTGCCCATCACACGAATTTCGGTTAGTAAGTACTCTGTGTTTTCAAAGCATAAATCAAATGCTTTCCAAATTAAGTCTATTCTTCGGGAAAATATGTGAAAGGGAAATCAAAATAATACTGATTATTGGTGATTGATCACTTTATAAAGTTGTTGCATGACTGTTTCATTGTGCCAGAAGCCCCAACACCTGGTTGTTTGGAAGTGAAAGGGGACAAATGAACAGCCCTGTTAAACATCCCATGTTGTCTGCAGTCCCACTCAGCTTTGCTCCCAAGTCATGTGATTCCAGGTGTTACCCAGTACTTCGTAGGTTCGCAGTAAATACTTGCTTTAGGACTGACCTGCTGTAGACCGAGTTGGTGTACACATCTGCCCTTTTTAACATGTGATGCTGAATTGCAACATGTAACTGTCGAAGTGTAAAATGGCCTAAATTGACCATATAAACTGCCTAGGCAGACCATCAGATTTAACAAACCTTTTCCTAAAGCTTAGAAGGAAACTCTTAATGAACCTGTTTGTAACTGTCTTTCCCACAGGCTCATTGTGACGTGTTATGCCACTGATTCACTGACTTCGAGTTTTCTTGCTTGACCTAGTCAAGCGTGAGTTGTTGTTTTTCTGTGAACTTTGCTTCAGGAGAGAGCTGGGAAGAGTGAAGGCTTGCCGTATGCCTGGCCCTGGTGTGAGAGGACTCTGGGATTGTTAGGGTGGCCGTAATTGGCCCAGAGGAGCCTGGGCTCTTTGATCAGGAATGTGGCCATTATTCTTGATGTGCTATCCGGTCACTCGTCAGAATGGCTGGACACAGGAACTCTGGGCATCCTGATGGACAGCCTGACTCCCAGAAGCTCTTCGGAGCTAGATTTTCTGTTGAAGGAAATTGTTTTCTCTTTGTGAACTGTTTAAGAATTTTGAATTGAAACTCAGAAAACTTGCAAATTGTCTATGGAGAGCATTAGATAAGATGAAGATTCAAAAGCCAGATTTTAATTTGGGGAGGAGGTGATTACATTTAAATCATAGTTATTGCATGTTCGGCAGATGGGAATGTGCTGTGTGAGGCACTGAACATAAAACAGCAAAAGCAAAGTCAACTTTCAAAAACTATGAGTCTGTAATAGGTAGTGAAAAACAGCTTTATTCGTGAATACAGCTTGTAGTAGTAGTGAATATGCATTATTATTTAACCCACTACAAGTCAGATAATCTTCCAGGCCCTAGGAATAGAGCAATGACTAAACAGATAAAAATTTTTGCTCTCCTAGTGCTTCTGTTATGATCAACAATACATTAGGTGCTGCCAGCTGCCTTGGAGAAAAATAAAGCATAGAAGGGGAATGTGTGTAGGGTGAGAGTTGTGATGAAAATGAATTGGTTGAGAAGGTGACATTGAGGTGGGCAGAAGGAGCCAGCAGTGTGTGTCTCGGGAAGGCATTCCTGGCGAGAGAGCAGTAAGAACGTTGGTAGCACCCAGGCCCTCTGGGGACAGTTCACCTGTTGTCCGAGGAATGCCGTGTGGCTGGAGCAGGGGCAGAGCGTTGGGAAGTTGGGCAGTTAAGTACAGGCCCTTCTAAAGCATTTTAGTTTTCATTTGAGGTGGGAAGCAGCCATCAGCTTTCATGAAGAGTCTGACGTTTTGAGAGCACCTTGGCGCGAGTGGAAGAGCTGCTCTGGCTGACTCGGAATGTGGTACCAGCCTTCGCACTGACTTGATTGTGTGTGACCGTAGCCTGTCCCTTAAACCTCCTCGTTCCTCGGTAACTCATCTGTCACATGGACGCTTCTTGAGCACACGATGGGGCAGACTTATCCTGTGAAGCCATGTGATTACCATGACAAACCTGTGATTTGTTGACAGTTTTCTCCTCAGTTTTCTCCGCTGGAGAAGCTGAGGCAGGGGGGAGCAACTTACCCCAGATAGTGAGTGATAGCTGTGTCATGTTCAATGGCGTGATTTGAGTTTGGAGTCCATACTCTGGCAGGATTCGGTCAGCTTCACGGTGGTGTTGAGAATCAGTGGGTTTGTCCGCTGTACAGTAGTAACAGCTTGCTTTGGGGTCACTTGATTCTTGCCGAGCACTAGTCTAAGCATTTAACACCTGTTACTTCTCAGAGTGCCTTGCAGGTAGGTGCTGTTGTTTTCTCCTCTTTCTGGATGAGCTACCTTGGAGATCTTGAACTTGGCCACCACTGTGTAACTAGGAGGAGGTGGTTCTGGGACTGCTCAATCACTCAGCAATTCTTTGAGCTTAGCTGGATGACTATGCTGTTGTACTTTATCGGCGGAGTTGAGATGTCTTTGGATATTCGACTTAAATCTGTGGGTTTTTTGTTTGTTTGTTTGTTTGTTTGTTTTTCAGATTTATTTACTTTTTTGGAAGGCAGAGTAACAGGTAGAGATACTGGCTCACTTTCCAAATGGCTGCAGTGCCAAGTCTGGGCCAGGCTACAGCCAGGAGCCCCTTCTGGGTCTTGCATGTGGTGGGCAGGGACCCAGTCTGTTGCCTGCTGGTACATTAGAAGGGAGCTGGATCAGAAGCCTGGCAGCCAGGACTCGAACTGGCACTCCATTCTGAGAGCCACCCTTGCCAGCAGTTTAACCTGCTGCGCCACGGCCTGGCCCCTGGGTTTTGTTTGTTTGTTTGTTTATTTTTAATGCAAAAATACTGCATTTTTTTCCCCAAGTGTTTCAGAAACATTGATGATCTGTGGGACACTACTCTACGTGCGTCTCCTTATACTCCTTTTAGAGAGATTTGGGCCTGATTTTTGCCGGAGGATACAGCTTTGTGTACACATCCCTTGTGGTCCTCCTTCCTCTTCTGTATAGTCCAACATAGCAGATAAAGATTGGCAGGCTGCCACGTAGCTGTGTGTTTCCTACACTCATTGTTGTCAGCTAATAATTTCTCATCGTTTACCGAAGACATGAGACCTGGCCAGAGGACCAGGCTGTATACCCCGACTTCTGCCATAATTCTCGGAAGTAGCGTGTCGTTACTGCAACCCAGCCAGCAATGGCGCTGCAGCTCCTGGGCCTCCGTGACTCTGGGGACCTCTAGTCCTCTCTCAGCTACTCATTCCCAGGATCACTCACTTTGCCTTGTCATCCACCTTGTTAGTTTATTCCACGAGTTTGATACCCTGGCAATGCTCATCTTGTAGTTTGCTGTATAAGGTTGTGGGTTTTTGACACCTGCTTTCCTTATCTGAAATGTCCCTTTCCCCTTGTGGTTAGTTCCTTACTCATTCTTCAGAATAGTGTTACTCAACCATTCTTTTATACTTATCCCTTCTTGATAAATATTTCCTCTCTTCCCCATAAATAGCTTTAGTTTAACAAATAATCGGGTTTTTTTTTCCCCCTGTGATCTATGAAACACTTTTCCTGACCATTCTCAACATATCCTTCAGTGTTCCTGGAACACCTTTATTTGTTTCTGTCATGCTCTTCCCCAGTGTTTCATGGTTGTTCTACAGGATTTTCTTTCCCGCTGGCCTACAGTTTCCACGAGGGAAATAGGTGTTGGCCTTAGACATATTCACTTTCCTGCCTCCTGATTAATGTTCACGTGTAGTTGGTGGTTTTTAAGAACTGTTGAGAGTGGTGAATAGACTATGAATTTTACCTCACAAAGAACTATTTGAAGTATATGGCACGTTTGCTTTTGATCTCATATTCTATGATGTGATGATTTATTATGGAATAGTTTAAAGGGGAAAGTTAAATACTATTTTGCTAACCTATGATGTTCAGTAGGTTGAACACATTATGAAATGAAATTTTAAACTTAATATTTTCAATATTTAATACAGGTTTTTTGGGACATAACCCCATTACAAATTGAGCATCTGTAATATAATTAGACCTGTGTTTAATCTGAAATTACTAAACACCTAGAACTTGATAAATTAATTTAGACTCCTAAATTCATTAGCTGAGCATAACCTAAACATTTTGAAAGCAAAGAAACACCCTACCCCTTAAATTTTTTTCCTGTCAGCATAGCGCTTACTAACTAAACATATTTTTGGAAACTAATTTCTCATTTGGAATTCAGAGGGATTGAATAACTTACTGAAGAGACATTGGGCTGAACCATATGAAACTGCTGATATTAGACTGCTAGTTGACCTAGAAAAAGTCCTTCTGTTTGGTCCAGCGTAATGTCATGTGGTTGGAGAGTGGCAGCTGCAAGCCAAGTCCTAACTCCTGGTTTAACCCTTAGGGATGTATATACACCGTTAACACGCAGATCAGTTCTTGTCATAGACCTTCCTTGAAATAAATGTCTGGAGCTGTTCTGAAAAAATTAGTGACTAATTGCACATAGTGCATTTAGGTGTATTCTGTCAATACTGTTATGTTGTTCTGACTGAATATTTGATAAATGTGATTTTAACATGAGTTGTGCATTTATAGGATGGAGGATGCTGATAATTCTGAAAAGAGTGTGAATGAAGAAAATGGAGAAGTATCAGAAGACCAATCTCAAAATAAACACAGTCGTCACAAAAAAAAGAAGCATAAACACAGAAGTAAACACAAGAAACATAAACATTCCTCAGAAGAAGACAAGGATAAAAAACACAAACACAAGCATAAACATAAGAAACACAAAAGGAAAGAGGCTGTTGATGCTTCTGACAAAGAAGCTATGTCTCCAGCAAAAAGAACTAAACTTGATGATTTAGCTTTGCTAGAAGACTTGGAAAAACAGAGAGCTTTGATTAAAGCTGAACTTGATAATGAGTTAATGGAAGGCAAGGTCCAGTCTGGGATGGGGCTCATCCTACAAGGTTATGAGTCTGGCTCTGAGGAAGAAGGGGAGATCCATGAAAAGGCGAGGAATGGAAATAGGGCTAGTACTAGATCTTCAGGTACAAGGGGAAAACTTGAACTTGTGGACAATAAAAACAGTACAAAAAGGCGAAGTAAAAGCAGATCCAAAGAACGGACTAGACACAGGTCGGATAAAAAGAAAAGTAAGGGAGGTATTGAAGTGGTTAAAGAGAAAGCGACTAGGAGCAAGTCAAAGGAAAGGAAAAAATCAAAAAGTCCATCCAAAAGAAGTAAATCTCAAGATCAAGCAAGAAAATCAAAATCTCCTACCCTGAGAAGGCGGTCTCAAGAGAAAGTTGGGAAGGCCAGATCTCCTACCGATGATAAGGTTAAAATCGAAGACAAAAATAAGTCAAAAGATAGGAAAAAATCGCCAATTATAAATGAGAGTAGAAGTCGTGATCGAGGTAAAAAGTCAAGGTCCCCAGTTGACTTACGAGGTAAATCCAAAGACAGAAGATCAAGATCCAAAGAAAGAAAATCCAGACGCTCTGAAATTGATAAAGAAAAGAAGCCAATTAAGTCGCCCTCTAAGGATGCTTCATCTGGGAAAGAAAACAGGTCCCCCAGCAGAAGACCTGGTCGCAGTCCTAAGAGAAGAAGTTTGTCTCCGAGGCCGCGCGATAAGTCAAGGAGGAGTAGGTCTCCACTCATCAATGATAGGCGGTCCAAGCAGAGCAAATCCCCGTCTCGGACTCTGTCTCCAGGTAGAAGAGCAAAGAGCAGATCCTTAGAACGAAAACGAAGGGAACCCGACAGGAGGCGGCTCTCTTCTCCAAGGTAACTCGTCTACAAATCGTCAGTGCTGTTTACCAGTGCGCCAGACTTGAAAGAACCATTAAAAATGAAATAGTAGTGAGTTTGCAATTTTAAACATAATCCAGTTTATTAGCTAGTAATATTTGTACTTCTAACAATGAACATTTTACAGATACTGAGCTTGATTTTTTTAGTTCTTGATTTAATTTAGTGTTTGATTTAAATCCAGATAATTTGGCCGGTTATTCACTGAACAACATAGGTGAAAACTTTAAAAGGGCATGGCGGGGAGTAAGCTGTTTAAAGCTTATGATCTGTCCATTCTCTTGTATTTGTGTGATTTTAAATTTTAATACTACACATTGAAACCACTGTGTATTTTAGACCATTTTTTGGTCCTGTTCATACAGTTATCTCACTGCTGAGAAAAGTAGTACTTCTAAAATTTGGGAAGGATAGTATCCGTGATTTTGTTCTGTGTCAGCAGTGGTCGTAATTCATGGATTGCAGCAGTGTACCAGTTCTCATAAATCTCCATGTGGTTATCATGACTCGTGTGGCTTGATGAGTGAGGAAGCTGTGTACTTAGGATCATATAACTGGATTCTTGGAGGGGTTGTTTAGACCAGTGTAAGTTACCTTGAAAGTATTTTCTCTATTATGAAACTAACAGCCTAATTTTGATGATTAAAATGATGTTGGTTTATACAATATAAAGATGTTATAAAAAAAAAAAGGATGTTATGAGTTCCTAGCCGTTGGATATATTCATGTTAATAATTTCAGTGTATAGGTGTAAATATAAGTTGACCTTGAACTTTACATCATCATGGTTTCAGAAATTTCAAGAATGTTGATTCTTAAGTGCTGTCTTAGGGAAGGTTCTTTGAAGTATTCCTTAATTATCCTGGTAGATTTTTCAGTTTGAAGAGGAAATTCTGAGGAGTTTATTAAGTATTGGAGCTCAGTATTTGACACATTTTTTTTTAATTCCAGAAGAGGTACCTAATAAAGAGAAATCCACATAATGCAAAAGTTGCTAAATGATCCCCCTCCATCCTTTTACTGCCACATCTAAGGAAGTTTGTGCCCCTGTAGCCTTTCTCTCTGCACATAAGTTATGTGTATGTGGTTTTTTCTTACAGAAAGTCAGATGACTCAATTTAATAAGCGGCTTGCCTTATTTTTTTCCATAAGGTTTCTCCACCAGGTTTATGGCAGCACTATTCACAATAGCCAAGGTATAGAATCAGCCAAGATATCCATCAACAGATGACTAGATAAAAAGAAAATGTGCACAGTGGAATATTACTTGGCCGTAAAGAGATCCTGTCATTTGCAGCAAAAATGTGTGGATCTTGTGGACAATATGTTATATGGAAACTAAAAAAAAAAAGTCTGAACATAGAATAATAATTGCTGGGGGTGGAGGGAGGGGACGAAGGAAGGTTGAATAATGAGTACCAAATCAAAGTTAGATAGGAATAAGTTCCTAGTGTTAATAAACACAACCGTCATGTTGTTGAGCAGACAGGAGAAAGGAGATCCACAGCTCTGGTCGTAGGGTGATGGCAAAGAGGAGGATGTTGGTTATAAGTGGTCTTTGAGAAGGTGTATGTGCAGAGGTTTTGTGTATAAAAATAGGTCCTCAGGTGACCCTACCAAGAAGTGCTATGGATGTGAGTCAAAGTCCACCTTGTCGATTTTGGCTGGATCAGAGGGATTCTTGCAGGTTCTATCTGCCATGTCCAAGTGTGTAAGGCATTGTATTTTTATGTTTTTCAGCAAATGGGGCAAAGGTTATTTTAATTGCCTGACAGGTATGGCTTATCCAAATCTGAAATAGTAAGGAATATTCAAGACCTAATTTTAAAAATTAAGTAATACAAATGCCACATTAAAGAAGCATAAAACTCATTGGGAGGTACTTTTGAAATAGGTGTTGAAAAGTGATTTTGAATTAAAGGGTTTGGGGTACACTCTTGTAAAAATTTCAAGATGTAGAGAAAAACTTCAGACTGAATAAATGTAGTAGTATTACTTGGACAGATTTAGAATTATTGTCTGAAATGAGATCAAGTGACTAACATTATGAATAACTTTTAGTAGTTCTTCCGACTGTGAGATCAGGGGACATAGGCCTTCTTTTCTGTCCTAACATAACACCAAAATGTCATCGTGGCTTTCTGATTTAAGTTTTGTCACAAAACACCATCTCAATTTCCTCTTTATATGTCGGACAGATTAATTGCATTTGATCGATTTTTCTGTTAATTTGCATTTGATCCTCTGAAGAACACGACCTCGAGATGATATCCTGAGTAGACGCGAAAGATCCAAGGATGTCAGCCCGATCAATAGGTGGTCTCCAACCCGAAGAAGAAGCAGAACCCCCATTAGAAGAAGGTCTCGCTCCCCACTCAGGCGAAGCAGGTCTCCTCGGAGAAGAAGCAGGTCTCCTCGGAGAAGGTAAAAGTGCATCACGGACCTTTGCGTTGCCCTTTCGAGTTAGGGAGTTGGAGGCTTTGGAAGTCCAGTGCCTCCGTTGATGAGATTTTCTTTTATGTAGTTTCCCTTCGAATTTAAATGTATTATCGCTCATTTGAAGCTCAGCTAAGTAATCTTCAGAAGAAACATTTGTTTCTCTTTATGACAGAGGAATACTAAAGAGGCTAAGCTTACTTTTTTTTTTGAACTAGTAAAACAGGTGGTAACTGTAGTCCTGTAGTGTTGATAGTTCGTGAAGCCTTTGGGGCAGAGGCCCGCTTAGCTTAGCACCACACAAGCTTGTTTGACTGGGTGAGAGCGCAGGGCTGAGCCTGCACACCCGTACTGAAGCGCGGGGACTGGAGGCCCAGCTCTGTTTCTGATTATAGCTTCCTGCTAACGGGCGCCCTGGGAGAGGCAGGTGATGACTCAGCTACTTGTTTTAAACTAAAATACAAAATTAAGGGAACGAGAAACTTTAAAGGCAAAGCATTTTGTCTGATGCACACTGGTCACTGTGCCATCCTGGTAGTCCGGTGTCTCTGTTTCTGTTTTCATTCTGTCTCCTGTGTCCAGTGTCGTTTTGTCATGTTTCACCCCCTTGTGTGATAACACATCTTCAAAAGCTTCCTGAGAGAATCAACTGGAAGGAATATATTGTGGCACCTTATCTCTCTAAAAAAAATTCCTTTTACTCTTGCTGATTTGGCATGGATGGAATTCTAAGTTCGAATTATTTTTCTTTGGTAATTTTGTAACTGTTCCACTTTTGATTTTCTAGTACTGCAATTGAGAGAGCCTGTTGGGCATTTTTAAAGGGTTTACATTTCTCCCCTTTTTATAACAAATGTCCTGTGTTATGAAATTTCACTGTAAGGCCGGCGCCGCGGCTCACTAGGCTAATCCTCCGCCTGCGGCACCGGCACCCCAGGTTCTAGTCCCGGTCGGGGCGCCGGATTCTGTCCCGGTTGCCCCTCTTCCAGGCCAGCTCTCTGCTGTGGCCAGGGAGTGCAGTGGAGGATGGCCCAAGTGCTTGGGCCCTGCACCCCATGGGAGACCAGGAGAAGCACCTGGCTCCTGCCATCGGATCAGCGCAGGGCACCGGCCATTGGAGGGTGAACCAACAGCAAAGGAAGACCTTTCTCTCTGTCTGTCTCTCTCTCTGTCCACTCTGCCTGTCAAAAAATTAAAAAAGAAAGAAAGAAATTTCACTGTAATGTACCTTGGTGTCTGGATCTTTTTTCTGTATATTTTGTGGGTCACTAGATAGGCTGTTTACAGCAGGGGGATTATGGCCACCTACTCTGGGATATTGTCTTCCTGTCTGTCTGCCACACTTTTTTCCCCACTGTTCTGTTTTTCTTTAAAGATTATTTATATGAAAGGCCGGCTACAGAGAGGGAGAGAGAGAGATCTTGCATCTGCTAGTTCACTCCCCAGATGGCTGCAACAGTTGGGACTGGGCCAGGCTGAAGCCAGGAGCCAGGAACTTCTTGCAAGCCTCCCATGTGTGTAGCAGGGACCCAAGCACTTGAGCCATGCTCTGCTGCTTTTCCCAGGCCACCAGCAGGGAGCTGGATCTGAAGTGAAGCAGCCAGGACAGGAACCTCCACCATGTGGGGTACCGGCATTGCAGTGGTGGCTTTACCGCCATGCTGCAACACTGGCCCCATTTTCTGTTTTTTCTAACTGGGCCTTCTCTACTCATGTACTTAACTTTCTCTCATCTTTCATGGTTGGCATTTTGTTCTACTTTCCACCTAGGACATTTTCTTGTTCTACCTCATTTATCCTCTTTTTTTTTTTTTCTTTTTTTTTGGGGGGGGGGGGTTATATTCATACTTTCATTTCTAGGACATTGTTGGCTTTTTTATTGCATTTTATTCCTGTTATGGAAATAGCATATGCTTTCTTAGTTGATGGTTGTTTTGCAATATGTTTTTTTTTTTTATAAAGTTCTCTAATTGGTGTTTGTTTGTAATGGCAGAGTCCTGCGTTGCTGCCTGTTCTAAGAGCTGGGCACTGAGAAAGCTGAATGGAAGTTTTCTTCCTTTCTAATAATGTGAAATTTGTCACCTAGTGGCTGTGACTTCGGGTCAGTTGGGAGAGATAGTGACTGTAGGTCTTTCATCTTGGGCTAGTAAGTTTTCCAGAATCGTCTTGTCGGCCGATGGGGCACGCAGACTTTGCTGCAGCGGAAGGCTTAGTCCTTCACGGTGTGAAATTACGTCTAAGCCCTCTGTTTGGTGCGGTGCCTCTCAGTATCTTACACCAGTTTTTGTTCTTGTATTTTTTAAGATTTATTTATTTATTTGAAAGAGTCACACGAAGAGAAAAAGAGAGAGAGAGAGAGAGAGGTCTTCCATCTGTTGATTCACTCCCCAAGTGGCCACATTGGCTGGGATTGAGCCAGGCTGAAGCCAGGAGCCAAGAACTTCATCTGGGTCTCCCACACGGGTGCAGGGCCCCAAGGACTTGGTTCATCTGCTGCTGCTTTCCCAGGCCACAGCAGAGAGCTGGTTCAGAAGTAGAGCAGCTCGGTCTTGAACTGGTGCCTATATGGGATGCTGGCACTGCAGGTGGCGGTTTTGCCCACTGCGCCCCAGCGCCAGCCCTTTTACCCGTTTTTGAAACAACCAGCATTTCTCTAGGAAGTGCATCTTAAGTGTGTTGTTAGAATGTGAAGGGACTGACTGATATTTTCCACCGAGTTGGAAGGGCAGTGCAGGCTCTAGTTGTTGTGGGAAGGGCAGTGCAGGCTCTAGTTGTTGTTGGAAGGCTTCCGGTCGGTTTTCCCCTTTTTCTCTCCATCCATGCTTCCGAGGATGTGGTTCCCGAGACATTCTGGAGGGTGTGAGCTGTGGCTCGTTTCAGAAGTCTGAGCTGGGTGGTGTCCTCAGATGGGATCTCGTCAGGAAGTGTGCTGATCCTTTCTGATAGAAGCTGCCCCTTTGATGCCTGCGCTGTGCTGTTGCTTCTGTCTGATACGGAGCAGAACTCAAGACACCATGGAGTGTCTGAGGACCGTGCTTGACCTGTCTTCTCGCATGTCTCTGCGGTGCCTTGCCAGCAGCAGTCTGTTGAAGCCGGGTTTATGAAGCACGAGGCACATCCAGTCACACAGACAGCAGCTGTGGTCAAGGCAGAGAACTTTCCTGCCACCTCCTGGCGTCTTGTGCCCCTTGGCAGCCCGTCTCTCCCCTCAAACCCCTGGCAACCAGCTACTCCTGTTTTGCGCCCTAGCTTCATCTTAGCTTGCATAGAAAACTTTTTTTTTCTTTTTACAACTTATTTATTTATTTGAAAGAGTACAGAGGGAGAGACAGATCTTACATCCTCGGGTTTACTTCCCAAATGGCCACAAAACAGCTGGTGCTGGGCCAGGCTGAAGCCAGGAGCCTCCTCCAGGTTTTCCACATGCATGCAGGGGCCAAAGCACTTGGGCCATCCTGCCTTGCTTTCCCAGATGCAGTAACAGGGAACTGGATCAGAAGTGGAGCAACTGGGACTCAAACCGGTGCCCGTATAGGATGCCAGAGTTGTAGACAGTAGCTAAGTTTATATAATAATAAAAATGAGTAGAGTTAGTATTAACAGCTTACAAAATAAATACAATGGACTCTTGGTGATCATACTCCCTAACTGGTGAAATTCAAAGAAACCTGCTGATTTTTGGTGTGTTAATTAAAAAAGCACATCTTCCAGAATCCGTGCCACAGCCGTGGTATCCTGAGTACAAGGAAACAGTGGGCCCTCGTTCCTGTAGATTCAGTAGAGCTTATACCATGTCAGTATTTCAGTCTGGTAAGGGCAGTGGCTGTGTTTTTGTTATCTTCAATTAAGCTAACCGTAAATAACCTTTCTCTAAAAATACACTATCTGGGAGCCAGCATTGATGGTGCAATGGATTAAGCCACTGCCTGTGTTGCCAGCACTCATATGAGGGCCAGTTCAGCCCAGCTCCCTGCTAATGGCACCTGGGGAGGCAGCGAGAAAGTCAGAGAAGGCCCCTGCTGCCCATGTTGGGCACCCAGATAGAGTTGCAGGCTCCTGGCTTCCTCCTGACCCACCCCTGGCCTTTGCAGCTGTGGGGAATGAACCAGTGGGTGGGAGATGGGTTGTTCTCCCTCTCCTCCCACACTGCGTGAGTGTGTGTGTCGGTCCATCCTGTCTCTAACTCTTTTCAAATAAATATTTTAAAAAATAATGAATGATTTCTTTAGAGCAGGTGTGGGGAACAGTTGCTCTGTGGGCTACATAAAGGCCATGAAATCATTTGATCTGGTCTGCCAAGGCAACTGCAGATGGGACTCAAAATTCAGTAAATCCATAGCAGGCTGATTTTTTGTTGAAAGATTTAGGTGGCCATGAAGAATACTATAAATACTCAGGTGGCACTTGGCAGGAAAAAGATTCCTCGCTCCTGTTTTAGAGGGCCTTCGGGTTCAGCACAGTGTTGGACAGCCAGTGCGCGTAGCGTTGCTGCGTGCCTCTTCCAGACACACGTACCCTCCCCCGCTTCCCTTGCCGTCAGGGCAGGCGTTTTTCCTAGCAGTTAAGACGTCCGCTGGGGCTCTTGGTCCAGCGTCCTGCCGGTGCAGGCGGCAGTGATGGCTCAGGTAGCTGGTTCCTGTCCTTGTGTGTCCGACTCCCAGCCTCGCCATCATCCACTCCCCACCACTCTCACTAGGCACAGTGCATGTGCACGCTCACTCATTCTCTCTCTCCCTTTTATTCTGTCACTCTGCTTCTCAGATAATGAATTAAAAGAAAAGGTTTCAGAAGGAAACTGGGGCTGTGAGGGTCTCATTGAAAAGGTGCCGTCGTCGTTCTCTCCAACAGGGACAGAGGTCGGAGGAGCAGATCTCGCTTGAGAAGGCGGTCCCGGTCGCGCGGAGGGCGTAGGCGGAGGAGCCGGAGCAAAGTAAAGGAAGACAAGTTTAAAGGAAGTCTGTCTGAAGGGATGAAAGTGGAGCAGGAGTCGTCGTCTGATGATAAGTAAGAAGGCAGCTTTCCCACTGCCGTTTTTCTACTGTAGAGAAACCCGCTTGACCCGGAAGGCCTTAAGTAGCTGCCTGAGCACTGTAAATGCACGAGGCCTGAATTCACAAGTTTTAGTTTTGCGTCACGTGTGTAGGTCGTGTGGCCAGCGTGGTGGGCTTCTGAGTTCAGCTGCTGAGCAGCCCTTCTCCATGAGCCTTCCCTCGGCTCTTGTTGGGACCACCAGATGTGCTGGTTAATCGTCCCGTTGGAGTGTGGGGGCTACCGGGTGGCATAGCTGCCCGTGAGGACAGCTCAGTGTCTAACGAAATCGGGATGTTGAAAATGTAAACACGCTTGTCCAGATGGAGTCCCCCAGAAGTAAACAAGGTGAATTTAGAGAAGTGGTTTCCAGCAGTGGATTATTCACCCACTGGCCTCCCAGCTGTGTTTTTTTGTTTTGTTTTGGAAGAGAAATTTACAGTGACTTTATCATTATAGTCACTCTATTGTCATTTGAACACCAGAACTTTTTAATTGATTGATTGATTGATTGATTGGAGAAACAAAGGAAAGGCTCCCCAGATACCCACAGCGGCTCCAGCTGGGCGTCAGAGCTGGGAGCCTGGAGCCCGTCAGGTCTCTGCGTGAGTGGAACCCAGTCCCTTGAGCTGTGGCTGCTGCCTCTCAGGATCTGTATTAGCAAGAACCAGAAGTCAGGAGCCAGAGCTGGGCACCAAGCCCACCTCATCTTTTAGCTAGCTAGCTAGTTAGCTAGTTGAAGGGGAAAGATTAATCTTCCATTCACTGATTCACTCCCCAAATGACCATGAAAATGGGCTGGGCCAGGCCAAAGCCAGAAGGCCAGAGCTCCAGCTGCGTGTCCCCTGTGGCTGGCGGGGGCTGAGGGACATGAGCCATGGTCTGTTGCTTTCTGTGATACATAGCCAGGAGCTGAATTGAGAGCAAAGCAGCTGAGCTCACCGGCCCACAACACCAGTCCCAACATTTAATTTTAAAATGTGTGAGAATTGTAGTTTTAGAATCTTCAGGCATGTTTGAATTTTTGTTTCTAAGCCTGGAAGACTTTGATGTAGAGGAAGAAGATGAAGAAGCCCTGATAGAACAGAGACGAATACAACGGCAGGCGATTGTGCAGGTGTGTGGTTTCAGTAAAATTTCTGTCAGTTTTCCTCGAGTGTCCCTGGATTAGTAAAATGAGAATGCTCTACTCCAACCAAGAAGTGGTGGTGGTTAGCCATTGAGCACGTCTTTAGAAAAGGGGTGCATGTACAGTCATGGCTGTGGGATTTGGACAAATAAATGTTTCCCCCTTTTTGTATACATAGAATTCTGATATACTGATATAAACTTCTTTTGTTAGACATGAGAATTCCTTTAAAAGAATATAAAATAACCTGGAAGATTTTCAGTGAGCAGAAACCTATGCTTGTTACCCGTGGGAAAAAACATTTTAGTGTCTAACAAAATAGTGGCAGGTTAAGACTAGTTTGAAGGTAGATGATGAAATGGGGTGGGAAAGGGGTGTTTTATACTTACAGTCATTTTGCCATGCAACGTTGTCAGTGCTTGCGTGGCCACCCTGAGGTAAAGCTGCGGCCACTGCATCCCTCACAAGCCACAGTCCCTGTGAAGCGCCTTCTCTTACCACTCCTGCTGGTGGGAACGTGAGTGGTGGAGTGGAGACGGAGAAATCTGGGAAAATGAAAAATAAGTTTGGATGATACGAGGACAGAAGAGGGAAGAGTGGCGTGGCAGTTGACATGAACTTGCAGAGCGCACCACGCATCAGGGAGCTGACTGGGTCAGGGTGAGGGAGAGGACTTGAATCAGCGGAGTCTGATACAGAACTGCGGTTCCAGGGGAGGCGGGCTTTCCTGGGACATAGGTGCAGTGGTTGCTGTTGAATTGACAGCCCTGAAGACGTGGCTGAATCTCTCTTTGTTCTTGCTCAGGTCCATAGCCCCTTATCTCCTGCTCTTGGGCCAGGTGTGCTTCAGAACTAGAAATTTTTGAGTTTTAGAAAGGTAATAGGGTATATCTGTGTGTATTAGCACCAGACCCCGTCAGGCACTTTGAGCTTTCTACGGTGAAGCACACTGACTGTCACAGTGTGGGGATGAATAAGTTGATAACCAGCATTTCATCTGGTTTTGCCATCTGATTGACGGGCATCAAACATAAAATTTGTGAATTTGAGAGCCACATAAGAGGTTGTGGATCAGATGAAGGCACCAAATGGATGCCTTTGTTTTTTTACATTATTTGGCACTCTTCAGCACGGGAATTCTTAGCACATTTATACGTTCAGATAGCGTCGGATCTCTGAAAATGTTGTGTTGTTATTACAGAAATACAAGTACCTTGCTGAAGACAGCAACATGTCTGTGCCGTCTGAACCCAGCAGCCCCCAGAGCAGCACTCGGACACGATCGCCCTCCCCGGACGACATCCTGGAGCGCGTAGCTGCCGATGTCAAGGAGTACGAGCGGGAGAATGTGGATACTTTCGAGGCCTCAGTGAAAGCCAAACATAATCTGATGACAGTGGAGCAGAACAATGGTGAGTGAGGTGGGCTTCTGTCCTGAGCCACACTTTCTCTGCAGTTTTAGGTCTGTAAGGTTATAGTGCGAGGTCTTGGGCAGATTTGGGATTAGGGAAAAGTAAGAGATTAGGAATATATCAATGAATGGGGTTTTTTCTTTTTTAAAGATTTACTTGAGAGGCTGAGAAAACCTTCCATCCTCTGGTTCACTCCCCAAATGGCTGCAAAGGCCTAGGCTGGCCTAGGCTGAAGCCAGGAACCAGGAGTGGATGGCTGAGGCCAAGTATTTGGGCCATGTTCCACTGTTTCCCCAGCACATTAGCAGGGAGGTGGAACAGCTGGCACTCGAACCAGCGCCCATATGGGATGCTGGTGGCTTTTCTCAATACACTGGCCCCAGTGTTCTCTCAAAGTTAGTTCATGCATCCTGAATAGTATCTGTAGCTCTGATGTTTTCATTATCTCTTGTTTATCTCCGGTAAATCCCAGTCAGGATTTCATATCACCTATACATACTTCAATTTGTATCTCTCTCAGATAAGAGGTTTTAAAAACATTATTTGTACTTAGGGGGTCAGCATGTGTGCAGCGGGTTAAGCCGCTGCCTGTGACGCTGTCATCCCGTTATTGGAGCACTGGCTCAAGTGCTGTCTGTTTCTCATCCAGCTCCCTGTTCATGCACCTGGGCAGGAGTGCGAGATGGCCCAAGTAGCTGGTGGTAGAACCAGCACCACAGAGGCCACTCCATTCAGGTTCTTTGAAATGATTCTCCTCTGAAGGTTTACATCATCAATTTAAAATCTTTATTTCCATTTACCTTTGATTGTAAGGGATTGCCTTTTTATTAACATTTATACTTTGTGTTGCATATTCCACCTGCACGCACACAGTCATATGTACTGATACCACCATATAATCTTCCCATGCCTCAAGCAGTGCCCATCTGATTACTTAGCTGGAGCATTGTTAACATGGTATTGTCTTGATTTCAGATTTTTAACCATTATCATAAGTGAGATAGTATCTATCTCATTGTAGTTTTAACTTGTATTTTCCTTACTGTAAGCATATTTTTTGTATGTTTACCACCAATACTTTCTTCAATTCTGGGAGCTCTTTTATTTATTTATTTATTTTAGTTTTTTTTATTAGAGAGGCAGAGTTACGGGGCAGGGGGTGTCTTCCATCTGCAGGCTCACTCCCCAGATGGCCACAATGGCCGGAGCTGAGCCAATCCAAAGCCAGAAGCCAGGAGCTTCTTCTGGGTCTCCCATGCAAATGCAGGGGCTCAAGCACTTGGGCCATCTTCTGCTTTCCCAGGCCATAGCAGAGACCTGGATCAGAAGAGGAACAGCCAGGACTTGAACTGGCACCCACGTGAGATGCCAGCGCTGCAGGCAGAAGCTTAGCCCACTGCACCACAGCACCAGCCCCTCGTATTTATTTTGACCTCGCTTTCTGTGGGATTGTTAGACTTCTTAATGGACAAATACATATTGACTGATACTTACAGTGGGACTATTAACTGTGATATAAGATAAATATCAGAAGTAGCTTTTTTAAACAGGAGCTTGCATTTTAATACAAAGTTGTTTTTTAGGTATTAGGTTATTCTTTGAACAATGGTGAAAGAATCTAGGTCTTTTCAATTTTCTGAAGTGCACTCTCTTAGTAAAGTAAAAAGGTGGTCATTTTATATTGGATAATAAAGTGATTTTCAGTTTATTGTTCATGGAAGACTAATGTGCAGGAGGGAAAAGAAGACATTTGTGGCTTTGCATGGACTTGTTTTAATTTGTGTCTCTTTTTTCAAAATACTGTTGATTTCTATTAAGGTTCATCTCAGAAGAAGCTGTTGGCGCCTGATATGTTTACAGAATCTGATGATATGTTTGCTGCATATTTCGATGTAAGTAATTTTTTAAAAACTAATAGGGAAGAGTATGAATAACATACAAATTGTAAGTCATACATGTAGAAAGAAGGATAAAAAACAATTTGAGAACTGCATAGAAGTCACATGCATCTGACTTAAATGTATGTTTACTTGTGTGCAAGTTATGTCTCCATGCACGGACGTAGAGCTAAACACATACACGTTTGTGTGTGGTAGTTTGGTGAGAAAAGGCAGTGTTAATTTTTTCCTTGCGTCTTTTGTAACAAAGTCCACTTTAGGCTTCTTATAGTGAGACTTGAAAATGAGGGGAATTTGTTGGAGAATTGGAAATACAGATTAACAAATAGGCTAAGAAGTCTTGGTCATTGAACTATTTTTTTCCTTAGTAATTTATCACTGCCTTTTGTTGAAAAAGTCCTAAATTGTAAACATGTTCAAAAATGTGGGGCTGTTTTCAATATAAATTAGAAGAAAATGAAGATATAAGAAGCGGTAGAGAAGCGCAACACAACCAGTCAGTGTGTAGGACTGTGAAGACACTGGCAGTGTGTGAGATACATTGCAACAAAGACACCCAGGGTTCAGGAGGCTGAAAGGAACCTGAGCAGTAGTCAGCAGCTCACATCCGCTCAGATCTTCTGGGTGTCGTGGAGAGTGCTGCGTGGGAAAGACTGCCGGAGAAGGAGATGTGATTGTGTTTTCCACGCAGACTCGAGCAGTGCAGCTGTGATGCCACTGTCACACCCGCGTGGGGAGAGGCGGGCTGTGTCTCATGGATAGCGCAGTAAAAGACACAGAACAGCGATGGGAGAGAGACTTGGGTGCTGCTGTTAGCTCCATGACAGTGTAGTTTCTGTCCTAATCAGCAGCCATAGAAGATCCGATCTGGTTTGGATTTTTCATTGTCATTTGTGATTCCTTAATCATGTTGATGAATGCTTTTGAGGATGCTTTGTTAATCTTTTTTTCTGAGCACTGTGGCAATACAAGAAATTTGGCAATCACTTTTCAGCTATATCACATCTACGTAAGTGGTGGTAAGAGTTCAGTTGGAGTAAAATGCTTTTTATTGGTTTTGCCCTTCTGTGTTTAAAGGACGTGGTTGACCTTTCTGAGTGGTGGCTGCACAGTTCACATTGCCTCCTTTATTTCAGAGTGCTCGTCTTCGGGCTGCTGGCATTGGGAAAGATTTCAAAGAGAATCCCAACCTTAGAGATAACTGGACTGATGCAGAAGGCTATTACCGTAAGTTCACATTTCTTCCCAACTTTTGAGTTCTTTGTAAAAGCATGTAGCCTGAAGCAGTCACATGTGATTGGAGACCTGAAAAAACATCACGGTGCCGTCACTTAAAAGTTGGGCGCATCCAGCAGCTGCGTGAACTGGCATTGTAGTCTAGCAAGCAGGCCGGCAGCATCACAGCTGAGGTGAGAGGTAAAGACGTGTGCGCCTAAACCTGTTCAGAGTTACTTTCAGCCATGAGATAATCTTCCAGAAGATTGCCGTCTTGACCATACAGGGAATTTTGGGTGCCAGTCACGCAACATTCGTCACGGGGACTGCCACTGGAAGCACTTCCATGAGCGCAGTTCTTCCTACCGAACATTCAAATTGTCAGCAGCTGATAGGACAAAAGAAGCGTCTTGTAGAGATCTAAAGTGGGCGTTGTGGTGTCAGCCACATTCTGAGATAATGGCCGGTGGAGAGGCGGATCTTTGCAACGCTCATTGGGTTGAAGAGTGCACAGTAGAGATTTGACACAGTTTTTGAGTGACTGCGCCGTAGGTACTGCTTTCTGATGCTGTTCATTGTGGTCAGACTTCTGATTTGTGCTTTGCGTTCTCAGGCGTGAACATCGGTGAAGTGCTGGACAAGCGCTACAACGTGTACGGCTACACGGGGCAGGGTGTCTTCAGCAATGTCGTACGAGCCAGAGATAATGCGAGAGCCAACCAGGAAGTGGCTGTGAAGATCATCAGAAACAACGAGCTCATGTAAGCTCAGAAGACCGACGGTTACAAGAAATGCCATTTTTAGAAAGTGTGGCACAGTCAGTGCAAAACAAGTATTATGGTTTTAAAGTGACAAAAAGAGTTCTTTTTGACTAGGTTTTTAAAAATTTATAGCCATGTGTTATGCAAGTGTGTCAAGTATTAGAACCACAGGCTGATTGTATTTAATTCATTTCCGTACATTTCAGTACCTACTGTGTACACTAATACCCACTTAGACTCCTTCCTCCTACTGCTTGTCTTATGCCATCTTTTGCTATGAATATCTTGGAACCAGAGGTGAGAAATGAAATGATCATATTGATTTAACTTACTGTGACCCACCAAAAGTGAAAGCTGATTTATTAGATAGTGATGGAGATTGTATCTTCTGTGTATATGTTGTCTTTTTTCTTTTAATAGACTTGGGTAATTGCCTCAGCTGTACTTACTCCGTACCACACGCTGATCTGGTGTTAAAGGTTTTGAATGTTAAACACTCTTCTAGGAGCCTTGTGGCTCAGCAGATGACCAATCCAGCATCCTGAAAATGCGTCCTGGGAGGCAGCAGGGAATGACACTGCCCCTGCCACCCGCAAGGGAGACCCAGTTGGAGTTCCAGTCTCCTGGCTGTGAGATTCGAAGAGTGAACCAGTGGGTGGGAGATCTCACTCCCAGCCCCCTCGCCGTCCCCTTACAGCTCCCCAGCCCCTGCCTTTCAAGTAGATGAGAATAAACAAACATTTTTTAATGTTGTAGATTTTTACTGAGGACTTCGATTGCCCAAGGCATACAAAGTTTTTTGGTGGAAGGCCCCAATATCTGTAATGCACTCTCACTTCAGAATATAGCTTCTTCACAAATCATAACCAGAATTTCATCAGGTAGCCATATGGTAAAACTTAATGAGACATATGTGTTACTCTCAAAGGAACCAAGCCTAGTAAACTGGTTCCATTTTTGTTAGAAATAATTATGTCAGGAGAGTTCAGATGAGGGGATTTGCTTTTCAGTGTTTTGTTCATTATTTTTAGGCATTAACTCTTTTTTATTCCTCAGTAGATTTGTTAATACTTAAAAGTTATAAACTGCATACACAGATCACCTGTGATACATTAGACTGTGACTAGTGAATATTATCTAATTCTCCTAAATTATGTATGTGTGCAATTCTGATCTACTTTTCTTTTTATTGCAGGCAAAAGACTGGTTTGAAAGAACTAGAGTTTTTGAAAAAACTGAATGACGCTGATCCTGATGACAAGTTTCACTGTCTGCGGCTCTTCAGACACTTTTACCACAAGCAGCATCTTTGTCTTGTGTTTGAGCCTCTCAGGTACAGAACTGAAAGTGGCTGCTTCGTCTCTCAGCCTCATTCTGAGTAAAAGCTGTGGCAAGTAGTCTGGGTGCTTATTAGTTTTGGCTGGTCAGTTTGCAGTTTGTTTGTGTTTGTTTTGACTGTTTTGTTTTCTGTGACTTGTGGTTGAGAGTTAGCATCTTCACAGTCAGGAATGTATAAACGTTAATTTATTGTAAACTCCTCATCAGCACTAACCTCACGTAGCCAGCAGGCCAGCAGCAGTGGTTCCTGAAAATTAAATACTTCAGAGAAGGATTAGGCCAGAGTGAAAGAAATAGGAGTGGGAGGGTTGAAACACAGCTTTTCTCTTCTGCATTATGGCCTCACTGTTGTGCTTTCAAATCTAAGCCCACTGTAACATAAAAATAGTTTCACCACACAGCTTCCTTGCGACTCATTTGGAACATTGATTTTCATTTGGAAATGGTGTTGTGTGCACAGTTTGATATGCTGTCATTTCAGCGTAGAGCAGCTTGTCAGGTGTTAAAGGAAGGGGTTTCTTGAACAGAGTATTTTCATTGTGAATCATTTTTGCAACTAATATTCGTGTTTAAAATTTTTTTTGTCTTTCATATTTCCATGTTGCATTTTAACACTATTTTGTTTTTGTTTTTTTCTAAAAGTATGAATTTACGAGAGGTGTTAAAAAAATATGGTAAGGATGTTGGTCTTCATATTAAAGCCGTCAGATCATACAGTCAGCAGTTGTTCCTGGCATTGAAACTCCTTAAAAGGTGTAACATTCTCCATGCGGATATCAAGCCGGACAATATCCTGGTGAGTCAGACCACCTGGCTGCCTTCTGCATCTGTGTCTCTTCTTACTAGCAATGTAATTATTACTCTCATTCCAGAAATGACATCTTTAAAGCACAGTTCAGTATACTAATCCATTACAAGCGGTTCCAATTTTGCCTTTTTTGGAAATGACCCATGGCATCCTAGAGAGAAGTAAGAAGAGGAAATTTTCCCCCCACTTTTGGTTGATGGATTGGTTCAGGGTATGCTCACGCCCAGGGGTGCTTTATACAGTGATAATGAGTTTCCTGTGGTATCTTAAAACACGTGCTGCATGGGGTGACGTTTCCAAATAAGAAGTGTCCGTGCTCCTTTGTTCTCTGATTCTATAACTCGTGGAATTAGGGGCATTTCAAGAGACTTAGCCTCTCTCCAGTAGATGTATGCAGTTGGCTTGAGAAAGCACTGAAGAGTAACTTTTCTGTTGTGCTCTTTTTCTCCCTTGGTCTTCATTGCTTTAGAAGCAGTGGCTCCTGGGGCCCAGACACTGAAGCTCGGTAATGCTGAGGCGTTGTACTGAAAGGCCGTCTTTTACCCTCTCCCCATAGTGACTTAGGATTCCATAGTGTTCATAGCATTTTTGAGATTTGGAAGCACACACCATGGTGGCATGATGAACACATGCACACCTTCTCCCCCCCCCCCCCCGACCCCCCATTTCTTTACCCTGTTCTGTGCCGGTCACAATTCACAACTTGGAGAATTTGAGCTCACCTGCCAGTCACATGTTTTGCATTTCATTTTTCTTAGAATGGATGCTTTATGTCAACACTCTGGTAGTTAATGCTTATGAGAGGTTCTTAGCAAAAGCCAAGCATGTAAAGTCTCTTTTGCTGGGAATTGTTTGAGCGATGACAAAATAAATTATTAAAAATATTGTGATCTTATTAAAATTTAAGATCTCTTTGGAGCCAGCATTGTGGTGCAGAGGGTTAGGCTGCTGCTTACAACCCTGGCATCCCATATTGGAGTGCTGGCTTGAACCCTGGCTACTTGGCTTCTGATCCAGCTTCCCGCTAATGTGCCTGGGAAGGCAGCAGATTCTTGGACCCCCTGCCACCCACAAGAGAACAGGGTGGAGCTCCTAGCTCCTGGCTTTGGCCCAGCCCAGCCCTGGCTGTGGTGGCCACTTGGGGAGTGAACCAGCAGATGGAACATCTCCCTATGTCTCCTTGTCACTCAACCTTTCAAATAAAACCTCTGGGGAAAATAATGAAGGACTCTTTATCAATAACTGAACTCTGTGATTCAGATTTCCCTTCTCTTTCTATGTCTTAAAATTTTCCTTCCAGACTACCATGTTAATAATGAGGTATATTCCTTTTTCATAGTTTGTGTTTATATTATATTGTATGTCTAATAGAACTAGGAGTAGGGGAGTTGAGTAATAGTGAAATGGGAGGTACATTATAAATGACTTAAGAGTTGCCTAGCCAACTTCATAGTTTTAAACATGATTTTTTTTTCTCTTTTTAAATTGGGAAATATATCATCCTTCTTCGGGATTTGCAAAAGGTACAGTGGGTATCTGTGTGACTGCTGTGGGAATTAAGTCTCATAAGCTCTTATTTCTAGCACTTCGTTTTTTTAATTTATTGCTAAATTAGTATAGATTTTCATATGGATTTCAGAAATGAAATGTTTTCCCTTCTTCCTGTGGAAAAGTAAACTTCAGAGAGCATGCGGAGCTGTTGGTTGTTAATCAAAACCCGAAGCTTCCAGGCTGTGGTTCCCCGTGGCGGTGGTGAAGTGCCACCTCTTTCCTGGGGAGTTGTGCAGCATGAAGCAGCGTGTGAGCCTGGAAACCGTCCTGGTGTCTTAAGGCCTTGTGGCAGGTCCCAAGAGTTTCTCCAGTAATCCAGCTTGTATTTTTTTTTTTAACATTGATTTATTTATTTGTGAGGGAGTTGTAGAAAGAGATCATCCATCCACTGGTTCACTCCCCAAAGGGCCTCAGTGGTTGGGGCTGGGTCATGCCTAAGCCAGGAGCCAGGAACTCCATCTGGGTCTCCCACATGGGTGGCAGGGACCCAAGCCTTGGACCCTCTTCCACTGCCTTCCCAGGCACATAAGCAGAGAGTTGGATTGGAAGCTGGGCAGCTGAGGTTTGAATCAAAGCTCCCGTATATGGGAGGTCAGCGTGCCAGGTGGCTGCCTAACCTGCTGCACCACAGTGCCAGCTACAGCTTTCTGCTTCTAACAAAGCTTCGAAGGAACTTTCACTCTAAGATAACTGCTTTCCTGACTCCCAGAATGAAGAGAATGGTAATTGATGTGACAGCTGAAAGTGGTCATTTCTGTTTACTGCTTAATTCCATGGGCATCTCTGGTGTTCCTTCAGTCTGTGACACTGACCTGCCCAGGGCTCTTTAAAGTGTTCAGTTTGTTTGGGGTGGGAACAGTAGGCCACGTTCAAGTCCCAACTCGGAATTTATGTGTGTCTCTTTTGAAGGGGGGCAGGGACTCTGGAATGTGACTTACCTTCACTTGTTAATCCTGAACCTGCTTCTGACTCATGAGTGGCAGCAGTCATGGGAGCAGCGCCAGCCTTGCTCAGCAGATGTCACTGTTACTGTGTATGTGGAAGTATTTACAAGGAAAGAGACAAACCGACTAATACAGACATCATTAGCCATTTTGCCAGATGTATTTATCATTTTTTGGACTAATACCTTTTTTATGTCTAAGGGATTTGGTATTCTCTAGACTTGAAGTGGTTGCTAGATTTGGGATGGTTAGCAGCTTCGGATAGAGGTTGTTTTCAATATGTTTTTGTCCAGTTTAATCAGAATCCTTCTGCTTTAGTTGCCGTCCTAATTTTCTGGCAACTGAAAGTTAGCGAGTCTGATATCTTATTTATGAATATCTTTATGTTCCTTTAAATAGTCACTTCACGTCATTTAGGTATTCAGGGGATTTTTAAAAGATGCTTTGCTTCATGAAATAAATTTTTTCTCATTACCCCACCTGTTTTAAAATATTTGTTAAAATTAAATTTACTTGGCATTGTCCCATGTCCCTGATGAAAAAGAGTTGTTATTAATTATAATCAAATATTTGAGAACTCTTAATTTTTCAAAATTAGGAAATTGAGCTATAAAATGAACAGAAAAATACTTTTTCAATGATTGTTCTCAGTGTTGGAATGTATATAATTTTTAAAGCCAATTATTTTTTCTTATCTTAATTATTCCTGGCTTGAATTAAATGTCCTTGAAAAAAATGTTTTGCAGGTTAATGAATCAAAAACAATTTTAAAGCTTTGTGATTTCGGGTCGGCTTCCCATGTCGCGGACAATGACATAACGCCTTATCTTGTCAGTAGATTCTATCGTGCTCCTGAAATCAGTAAGTTTCTTTGAGATGTTCCTTGACCTGGGCCATCCTGTGTGTGGAAGCACATGTGTCATGTCTGCGCACTGTTTCCGTCACACTTCAGCAACTGCACGAGTGCAGTCTTGAGGAAGGGAACCGTAGCAATTCTTCCTCGGGTGGAGTGAAGGTAGTTGTGGCGGGAGTAGCCGACAGTTGTGGAAACTCCTCAGCCGGAGGAGATGCTCTCGGCTGTTCAAGGTCTGCGCGTTACATTTACGCGCTGTAGGGGACCTTTGGGTTCACTTGCTGTTGCCTTGTGGAGGTTGCTTAGCACTTCCTTCAAAAGCGGATGAAGAGTCACAATTGCTTTCGCCCTGCTGTTTCTCTCCCATACCCCCGTATCCCCACCTTTAGGTCTTTCAATTTGAATCCCTGTTAAGAGTTAATGGGAAAGAATGTGAAAGTAATGTCCAAATTAAGGTATTGTGGTTAATAATCCAAGCCAAGTTAGTCCCCTATTAATGGGAATGAAAATTAATAGTAGGCATCCATTTTTATCCTCATATATTAAAGTTACCATTTTCTTTTCAGTTATAGGTAAAAGCTATGACTATGGTATAGATATGTGGTCTGTAGGTTGTACGTTATATGAACTCTATACTGGAAAGATTTTATTTCCTGGCAAAACCAATAATCATATGCTGAAGCTCGCTATGGATCTCAAAGGAAAGATGCCAAATAAGGTAGGACATTCGTATATGCTTGTGTTTTCGAGGTCTCAGTCTCCTACAGCGTGATGGACTGCTGACACCACCAGGCTATTTGGGAAAGTCACTAGGTATGACGTCCAGCAAAAATAAGCCTTATTGCCTCGGTTACAAAACCAGTTTCTGCTTCAAGAATGTTTTCCTTAGAGGTCAAAAGTCATTTGTTTTTAGATACTGTTCAGATTCTGTGTTAGATATAAAATTATCTTGGGCTGGTATTTGCTTTAATGAAGTCTAACCTGTATCACAGTAGGACTGTTGGAATGTAATCTGGAGAATGTCATTAAGTTTCCTAATTGCTAAGAAAAAAGGCCTTAGTTGTGTAATATTTTTCCAATTTTGAGAAATGAAAGTACAACCTGATATTGTAATTAATTTAAATCATTGCCTGGGAAAGTGTAATTCCATGTTGTTAAGCAGTTTTAGGTGCAGCATTTGTGCTGGCTTTTGCAAACATGTTAATAAATTCCAGGGAAGAAAATCTGAGATCAAAGAAACCCAGAGAGACTCAGTGCTACCCTGTGTGACTTATATATTGTTAGTAGGTCAGCCTTTTTCATAACAATTTGAAACCCAAGTTTTTGTTTTGTTTTGTTAGATGATACGGAAAGGTGTATTCAAAGATCAACATTTTGATCAAAATCTCAACTTCATGTACATAGAAGTTGATAAAGTTACGGAGAGGGTAAGTCTGTTTAAGTGTGCTACATTAAATGGTTAGTTTATTAATGAATTGGGTACTAAATGGTACTAGACATTGTAAAAAAAAAAAAAAAGAAACGTTAAAAAGGATGTAATTCCTTTTTGTTGTTGGCCAGTTCCTGAATAACTGTGATAGAAAAGATGAAGAGATTTTTTAAATATTTCACTAATAGAATGAGTCTGTTTTAATGTAAGTCATAGTTAGCTCTTGACCCCTTCCCCTTGGATCAGCCTCTCAGTCTTGGTTCTTCCAGCCCCTCTGTTGCTGCCAGAGTGATCTCTTTTAGAGGAAATCTGATCATGTTACTCTCCCTACCTGAAAGCCCTCGATGACTCCTTGTTACCTACGAAGTGTAGTTCCTCAGAGGACAAGCTGAAGCTCCCACCGCGTGAACTGTGCCTCAGCATTTGCCCCTGACTGCTCTGAACCTGCGCCTTCCCCAGCTGGGCTTGGGGCCTGCGGCATTGCTCTCGGCCCTCTCAGTTGTTGGCCTCCTACTGCCCCGCTCCCTTAAAAGCCTCCGTGAGATGCGGCTTCTGTGCACCTGCTGTCAGACCTCCCAAGCTGAAGAGATCCTGATTTTTCATCTCATTCTATTAACATCCCTAACTTTGTCAGAGCACTGATTGGGTGCCACATAGGGGTGGTTGTAGGGGGAATATATTGTTGGAAGGGCAAGTGCATCCTGTTAGTTTTCATTACTCGCTTGTGTTCGACCTTTTTCCTTTGAGTATTGTCATTGCTTCTTGAAAAGGTCGTAGTAATGAGGGAGCCATGTAAAGTGTCAGTAGATGATCTAGAGTAATGATATGTACATTTATAATATTGTTGATGGATAAGTCTGACTTCAGTTATATTTCAGTTACATATATTTAGTAACTTAGAGATAACGTTTTGAAAATTACTTTTAGGAGAAAGTTACTGTCATGAGCACCATTAATCCAACTAAGGACCTGCTGGCTGACTTGGTTGGGTGCCAGCGGCTTCCTGAAGACCAGCGTAAAAAAGTGCACCAGTTGAAGGACTTGTTGGACCAGATCCTAATGTTGGACCCAGCTAAGCGAATTAGCATCAACCAGGCCCTACAGCATGCCTTCATCCAGGAAAAAATTTAAACGAGATGAAGAAACTCCAAGGGTTTGAGTAATTAAATACAAAGACTGAAGAAATTTCACAGCAGTTTATTAATGTATATAAACTTATAAATATTTCTCCAGCAAATTTGAGGAAGCATGATATATTTGAATTAACTCCAAGGGTGATATTTCTTTTAGAAATGTTAGTTAATCTGTTTTGTGTCTTATGTGAAATTTCACTGTAGAACTGTTTTATTGCCAAGACTGCACAGAATTACAGTGCTAATGTATATGGTTGCAGTTCACATAAAAGACAAAAGCATCTGTTATGAATGAGTAGTACTACTGGGTGGTTGACTTGTTGTTAGCAGACGTGGCTTCGTTTGGTCTCCGATGCGATGGCCAGCATAAATGCTGTTTATATTCACGTTTCCCTAGGTGTGTGTGTGCAGGCCACAGCAGCACGCCCTTGGTGTAGTCAGTGCCGAAGGGAGTCTGTTCCTTCTGAGCCTGCCTGCAGGGATGGTCTCCTTGTAAAGCAGGGTGTGTCCAACATTCAGTACACTGAAGGTAAGCTAACCCATCACCATCATTGGTGTTTTAGGATGTTATTTTACTGGAGCAATTGACAAATAAGGAATATTAGCTTTGTGGCAGAATTCCCTGCATGTGTGATAATTGATCTTGTTTTATTTTTTGGCATCGCAGCCGTGGCATAGTTAACAGTTTCTGTTCTGTTCATCACATTTAAAATTTGAAGAGTACGCGCTTGATGGATAGAGCGCCTTCAGTGTACTGTTTCTATTAACTTTACTTTTTTAAATCAACTTGCTATAGACTTTATATACATTTTGTTAAATATAGTTCCTAGTGACATAGAAATGATGCGTAGTTTTCATTTACTAATTAAAAATGTCGAGGCCTAATTCTGACAGTCCTCATATTTAAAGGTTAGATAGACAACATAATGAAATTTTTAACTATTTGTATGTCATTTTGAAAGTGTACTGCTTTATGGTAAAAGTGTTTTTCATTTGTTCATTGTTTTCATTATTTGTGATCATGTTGTCTTTCAATACAGGCATAAACCTTCCACTCTTGAACAAAGCAGCTGCTTTTTAAAAGCGGTAATTGCTTCTTTACCTTTTATTTCTTTTGTAAATGAAGCTTTTCTTTAAGGATGTGACTTTAAAGTGTTGTCTATTGCATAAAACAGTTGACACTCACTTATTGTAAAGTGAAGATTGTTCTACTGCATGTGACGTGGACCATGCAGATTTCTGTATGTTCTCAGTATGCATCACTAGATAATAAAGTCTTTTGTGAACAAGGCATTTGTAGCCATTTTTAAAAGTTTTTGTCTTCAGAGCTGGTAAGTCAGGTAAACCATAAGTAGTTACAAGCAACCTTTCATTTGTTTTTCTGAAAGTCTTTAATTAAAGTATTAGTTGTTAAACTATAAACTTAGCCAAAAGTTTATCATTTTATTGATAATTCGGATCCTAATAAGTTCATCAGAAATCCCTACGAGTGTTGTCAGCTTGCAGTGTAGTGAGATTGTTCCTGTAGGTTACAGGCCGCGATTCAGGATTTAACTAATGTTTCTGCTATTTTCTCACTTTTCCTTTTGATGGTGCGGAAAGAGAAAAAGGAAAACGGGGCACAGGCCATTCCACGCCTTCTCCAAGGGGTCTGATTTGCTGAGACACCAGCTCCACCTTCTTAACAAGGTTATTTCTGACAGCATGTGTAGATAAACACTTAGCAACAATTTAAACAGAATCATGTAAATCAGCTTGGTTTTGCAACACAGAAGAATTCGTATTTAACACAGCAGTGAGTTTTCAGAAGTGTATGTAATCTTTTCTGTTTGGGGGTAAACTAGTGGTTGTCTCCCTGAGGAATATGAAAAGCGATCAGATTTTAGGGGGTTTAATAATCTTTTTAAATTGTAAATGGGATTTTTTTATCCACCCAGGCACCTAATTACAACCCGCATGCACATTTTGGTGCACTCAAGAATGGAAAATCAGAGTAGCAGCATTCTGCTGGTGGGCTTTGCTCCATTTAAAGACATGGGATGAACTGCACCAGGAAGGTGATAGATGATAGAATAAGCCACCTCTGAACCTACACCCCGTCTCTCCATGGCTTAGACTTGCTAACATAGATGCAAGGCGATTGTCGTCTTCAGGTAGACTGAAGCCTTTTAAAGAAGGCGTCCCAGTGCAGCTTTTCCACCTTAATGAACTGGATCGCGATGTTTCCCACCATTAGTTACTTTATTTTGATGACAGTGTGCTGCATATTCAAGTCTTGTTTAGTTATTCGCACTTGAGATAGTTAACATTTTGATGCTTCTGGTGATTTTTATGGCTTCATTTTATATAATTATTTAAGTAAGTTAATTTTCACTAGAAACAGTTCATCTTATACCTTCAAAACTGTTACCTGTTCTTTAAAAAACAAAGTTGCTTGTTACTTGTTCTTTGTGTTTTAGGTGCAGCTCAGTGGAAGATGATGGCAACCAGAAGACATGAGCTAAGGTTTCTGTCCTATAAAAGATTAAAAAACCAAAAGAGATTCCTGCATTTAGTTTTTGTCTAATTGTTTTCAGTTTTCAGCATTATGATTTGGGTTTCATTAGTGTTGGTATTTAGAGTAGCAGTGCTGTGTGGTGTTCATCTGTGAGTGCTTGTTTGCTCATACTCTCTGCCTCTTCCCCCCCCCCCCCCAAATTAAAACAGTGCTCAGATGTTACTGGAGGATGAGCGCCCATGTAACACCTGGGTATCAAGATGGGCGCTGAGGTCTCCTGGGAAAAGACGGCCACTGACGTAGCTGAGCTGGAGGCAGATGAAAAGGTGTTGAGCGTTGTTCAACCCCTGGGGTAGCTGTTCCCCGGCTGCCCCTCACCAACCTTGTTTTTTAACAAGTGTTGCAGTCATGGTCTTAAAATGGACGAAATACTTAGAGCCATTGTCAGTTTTTCCTCTTAAGGGAAAGGACAAAAGTGATGCTATTTTTTTATATTCCCAGATTTAGCATTCCTAGACTCACATGTTTGAAGGGAGCCCTGCAATCCATGTTTTATATACAGATACGTGAATTTTTTTTAAATTAGGATTTGTCATTTTGCCAAGGCAGAAATTGGAATTCTGTGTCCCCTTGGTTAAGACTGAGGTCTTTTAGTGAAAGATCCGTCTCAAACTGCATTCTGGTTTGAGAGGGAATTCCTGTCATTTATGCTGTTAACGCTTCTTGGCAAAAATGATTCTAAGTGATTGTCAGACTGAGGTGCGTAATCTGTAGATCTTATTCTTGAAGGGCGTGAGAAATGGGCTTGGAATTGGGAGGTTTCTAAGCAAGGGGAGCATCTAGTCATAAGTGTGGCTCTCCTAATGCGTGTGCTCACTCAGCACCTTATTAGTAGCATCCTTTTTCTTGAACCCCCAGTGACTTAGCTGATTTCACTGTTTCCTCAAAATAACTTCATATTTTAAAATGTTATGACTTTTTAACTTGACATTATATTTGCAACTTTTTCCTAAGAAAATACTCAGACACTTTTATAATGCAAAATGTTTGTTCTCTCATGGTATGTGACAGACAGACGTAAGGTTCTCGGTTTACTTCCTTATTTGCAGTCTCCCTGCGGAGCTCTCTACCTTTGTGGTCATTTGTAGTAAGCAGAGCTAAAATCTGGAAGAACTACCACGCATATTGAGAGTTAGGTCAAGCAGTTCAGGAACGCCCTTCCAGGTGTCTCAGTTAGGAAAGAAGCCATATATCCAAGCGTGCCATTTCCCTGGTCAGTCAGAGCGACACCGGTAGCAGGTGGGCCTCGTCAGGGTTTCTTTCCTGATGGTATCCTAGCTCAGCATGTGTTGACCATGAACTTGGTCACCCTGCTAGGTGGGAAGTCTTCCTTAAGAGTGTTCACGGCAAGTTCATTGTGTTTTTTACATGTCAGTAATGCAAACTAAGTTGACTTGGAAATGTTTCCAGTTATTTTGCTTGGTAGATGTTGTGGCATCCTTAATTTCTCTTCTCCTTCTGTATGTAGGGTAAGGGATTGTTCGGAAGAACCTTTCCATTTAGTGATCAAGATGTGGACGCTGGTCTGTGAAAGTGCTCACTGTGTACCGTTTGTCCGTGGTATTTAAACTGTAACTGGCATTTCCGTAGCACATGTTCCCCTCAACATTTGGGAAACTTAATAAAATATGCCTCTAGTTATATTGTCTCCTGATTTTTCCTTTCCTTGAGTTGGTGTTTTACATTGAGTCTCGTTCTACACACCAGTCCTTACCTGGCGTTCTTCAGGTGTTTTTGACTAATAGTGACACAAGTGGATGTGCTTTGAAAGGTGTTCTGTACTCGCATGATTGGGGCCTGCTGGATTAAACACAGTTAAATGTGTGTCTTCACACAGTCCCCGGGAGGGTTCATGTGTGTTCTGAGTCTTAGCAACAGGGACAGGTGTGCAGGGAAGTTTCCCGGTCTACCAGGCGGAATCAGCTCTTCACAGAACCTGCGGCTTGCAAATAGCTTGGGGACGAACACTTTCCTCACGGGACATCCAAGTATCTCAGAGCACCAAGTACAGACCATCAGAGGCTTGGTGGTTTTCCTGTTACGTATGGTTCTGCTGCTTTCCCTAGTGAAAACATAATCAGTAACACCCTCTTCCATAATGGTACATATTAGTCATTGCCACATGTGGAAACCTGACAGGCGCTGGGCACACGCACAGTCTGCCGACTTTAAAGAGGAAATCTTCAGCTCATAAGAACAGCGACTAGGAGGGCCGCAGCGTTGTTAGCCTCCCGTGCACGCAGCGCAGGCCTAGTGGATGAGGGCGGAGCGGGAGGCAGCCGGGCACTGCTCTCTTGAGCCCTGGTGTCCTAAGAAGTAGGTCATGTGGCCGGGGCTGTGGTAACGAGGTCTGATGGTGGCCGGGGACGAGGTCCTTGTATGCCCTGAGAACAGGCTGCTCAGACCTAAGGATGACACAGATTCTGTCTCAGTGGGTCCAGCACAGGAGAGCTAAACATGCAACTGAGCAACACAAGTTAATCTGGCGGAATCTCTGTGAAAAAAATTACTTCTGTGCGTGTGGCAAACTTTCCCAAATGATTCCTTCAAAAGCAATGGTAGGGATGGACATGTAGCCTAGCAGTCTTCCACGGGAGGACCTGGGTTCGAGTCCCAACTGCAGCTCCTCAGCACAGCTCCCTGCTGACGTAGACCCGAGGCAGTGGTAACAGCCGAAGTGGTTCTGTCTCATGGGAGACACACGCCTTAGATGAGTGTTGGGGCCATCTGGGGAGTGAACCAGCAGTGGGAACTCTTGGTCTCTGCCTTCTAAAGGAAGGTAAATTTTTAAATAGATAGTGGTAGAAGTTGGCATCCAACAGGTTTGAAAAACAGCCAAGGCTATTCATTAGTTCATTAATAACACTTTTCCCCAGTCATGAACTTTGCTTTTCATGAATCCTTATTGCTTATTTGAACCAATCCTTTTTCCACAGTCAGCAGGATAAACAACATAGTTACAGCCCTTCTTCCTACAAATTGCCACTTCTGGTTGCATCTGTAACTAAAATGGACAACTTTACATTTATGCTTAGAGCAACTTTGGGCGGTAATGGGAAATGGGTGGGTACTTCAGCTCCTTGTTAGATCTATGGCATCCTGGATACAGTAGTCAGGTTATTTTTCCACTGAGAAATTTGCCCTATGAGCTTTGTTTCCACACGTTTCCCACATATCTGATGGACCAGCAGATATGTTTGTGTCTAAGTTTAAAAACTGTCCTCAGACATCAAAGCCCAGATTTGTTTCCATACATGGGAAGTAACCAAATTAGTCCTGTAGTGTAGAAACGGTTACCTGGTACCCCAGTGAGACGTCCTTCATTACACTAAGGGTTAATGCTACGGCAGCTCATTTTTGAGCTTGCCCTCTTGTGTAATCCTTGTTTCCACTCTAACTTGTTAGTATTTGCTGTCTGGCAGGCAGTGTTGCTCCCACTCCATCACACAATAATGAAGACACAGCAGGTGTTTGGCACAGCTGGTCCAGCACCCCCATGGAGAGCGCCTGCCTCAGGACCCAGGGCCCTGCTACTGTGCCTTCCTGGAGGCAGCCGGTGATGACTTGAGTTCTTAGGTCCCTGCCGCCTTCCTGGGAGACCTAAATTGACTTCTGGGCTCCTGGCTTTGGCCTAGCCCGTGCCTGATTATTGGAGACATTTGGAGAATAACCCAATGTGTGGAGGATCTGGCTTCTCTCTGCCTTTCAATTAAAATAAAATGAAAAAGGACAAGGTAATTTTTCCCACAGAGTACCAACTACCAGAATACAGTGGTGAACAAAACAGGTGTGTCCTTGCCTGATGATTTTACAAATAAAAATTTATTTGTGAGGGAGGGAATGAAATCCAGGTAAAGAAGGCAAAAATGAGAGTGGATTCAAAAGTAACATTCAGGACTCAAGTTACAACAAATTGCAAAAATCACAAAAATGGTTGATGGGAACCAGAAAGTTCATTGTGAGTTGGCACTGAGTGAAAATATGCCTATTTTTTTGCATCATCTTGTGAAGGGATATTATACTACTTAGGATATTGAAACTAATTGGAATACAGGTAAAATTCATTATACTAAGAGAACCTGGCTTTTCTACTGTGTTGGTATGGCTCCAGAAAATTCTTTAAATTAGCTAACCTAAAAACCAAGCACACTATATAATCCCTGCCTCTAAGAAAGCTATTTGAGCCCAGCTCTTCTACCAAGGTTGGAAAAGAAAGAAGAAACAAGGTATCGTTGTTCTCTCCAGAATTTGAATTACCTACCCCTAACCTCAGTGCATCACACAGAGGAAGGGTGATGTTGAACACCTACAGTGGTTTTATGTGGGGGGTGACTGGTGGAGAGGCCCTTTTACTTTTCATTTGGTACCTTGGGGCAATGTGTGAAGTTTTGATCACAGGTTAATGTTTTAAAAGTTATGGAAAATTTGAGTTACATCAAGTCTTTTTCAAAGTGTGGTCCAAGAACCACCTATATTAAAATTACCTGGAATATCTGTAATCTGTATCCATAGATACCAAAATTGTTTCATTAGGCCTGTCCTGGAAACCTGGACTCCATTTTTTTTTTTTTTTTTAAAGAACTCAAGAAACTCAACAACAAAACAATCCAATTAAGAAATGGGCAAAGAACTTGAACAGGCATTTTTCAAAAAGGAAATTCAAATGGCCAACAGACACATAAAATGCTTAGGATCACTAGCCATCAGGGAAACGCAAATCCAAACCACAATGAGAAGAGGCCTGCTCAGTGGCATAGAAGGTAAAGCCTCTGCCTGCAGTGCTGGCATCCCATGTGGGTGCCAGTTCAAGTCCCAGCTGCTCCATTTCTGATTCAGCTCTGCTATGGCCTGGACAGCAGTAGAAGATGGCCAAGGCCCTGCACCCACTTGGGAGACCTGGAAGAAGCTCCTGGCTCCTGACTTCAGATTGGCTCAGTTCAGCTTTTGGGGCCATTTGGGGAGTGAGCCAGTGGATAAAAGACCTTTTTCTCTGCCACCACCTCTCTAACTCTGCCTTTAAAATAAATAACTTAAAAAAATAAAAAACCCACAATGAGGTTTTACCTTACCTCAGTTACAATGGCTCCTATACAGAAATCCACAAACAGATGCTGGCAAGGATGTGGGGGAAAAGGTACCTAATCCACTGTTGATGGGAATGTAAACTGGTACAGCCACTGTGGAAGACAGTATGGAGATACCTCAGAAATGTGATATAGACCTACCGTATGACCCAGCCACCCCACTCTGGAGTTTACCTAAGGGAAATGAAGTCAGCATAGGAAAGAGTTAACTGTACCCCCATGTTTGTTGCAGCTCAGTTAACATTAGCCAAGGTATGGAATCAACTCAGATGTCCACCAACTGATGGCTGGGTAGAGAAATTATGGTATACATGTTGTATGGAATATTAGTCATAAAAAATGAAATCCTGTTTGCCAAAAAATGCATGCAACTGAAAACCATTATATTTAGTGAAATAAGCCAGACCAAAAAAATACCATATTCTCCTTGATCTGTGATAACTAATGGAATACCAAAAATGTGTAGGACTGAAATTGATGTTTTGAGATTTGATTATTTACAGCCCTTGTCTCTACGGCTGAGGAAGAGTGGATTTTTCTTACTGTTTGTTGACCTCTTTACTTAGTGTAGGGTCAATCTTAGGAGTATAAAGTAAACTGAAAGTAGATCATTGTAAAGATGAAGGGAGGAAATACGAATGAGGACAAAGGGTGGGAGTGAGGGCGGGAGGGAGGAGAGGGTGAGAAGGATCACTATATTCCCAAATCTGTATATATGAAATGTGTTTACCAAAAGAAATTTATTTGAAAGGTAGAGTTACAGAAATAGAGAAGTCTTCCAACCTAGAGAGAAAGGGAGGTACACAGATCTTCCATCCACTGGTTCACTCCCCAGATGGCTGCAATGGCTGGGGCTGGGCCAGGCTGCAGCCAGGAGCCAGGAGCTTGGTCCAGGTCTCCCATGGTGGCAGGAGCCCAACACTTGGGTCTTCTGGTGCTTTCCTATGAGTTGGATGGGAAGTGGAGCAGCTAGGACTAGAACCAGTGCCCATACGGGATGCCAGCATCACAGGCAGTGCCTTTACCTGCCTTTACACCACAACACCAGCCCCATTTTTGTGTTTTATAGATTTTTTTAAATTATTTGAAAGGCAGAGTGACTGAAGGAGAGACAGATCTTCCAACCCTGGTTCACTCCCTGAAATAGCCACAGTGGCCAGGGCTGGGCCAGTCCGAAGTCAGGATCTTCCTACTTCATCTGGGTCTCCTCAGTGAGTGGCAGTGGCCCAAGCACTTGGCCCATCCTCCACTGTTTTCCCAGACTTATTACCAAGAAGCTGTATGGGAGACAGAGCTACCAGGACTGGAACTGGAGTGCTGATAAGGGATATGGGATACTGGCTTCCCAAGTACCAGCTCAACCCACTGGGTCAGAACACACGCCCTGGACTCCACTGTTCCCAATTTTTCTCTTAAAAATGGGGGCTGGCACCGTGGCTCACTTGGTTAATCCTCAGCCTGCAGCGCCAGCATCCCACATGGGCGCCAGTTTTAGTCCCAGTTGCTCCTCTTCCAGTCCAGCTCTCTGCTGTGGCCCGGGAGGGCAGTGGAGGATGGCCCAAGTGCTTGGGTCCTGCACCCGCATGGGAGACCAGGAGAAGCACCTGGCTCCTGGCTTCAGATCGGCGCAGCGCCAGCCGTGTCGGCCATTTAGGGGGTGAACCAACGGAAGGAAGACCTTTCTCTCTGTCTCTCTCTCTCTGTCAAAACAAACAAACAAACAAAAAATGATTAACTTGAGAGGCAAAGAGATACAGACAGTTCCTACCTTCTGATTCACTCTCCAGAATCCTGCAACAGCTGGGGCTTGACCAAGCCAAAGCTCGAGGCAGTAATGCAGTCCAAGTGCCTCGCATGCGTGGCGAGAACCCAGTTACCTAAGCTATCATCGCTGCCCCCCAGAGTCTCACGTTAGTTGGAAGCTGGAGTCAGAAGCAGGAGCCAGGACTCAAATGCAGGCACTCCAGTATGGAAGGCAGGGTTACAGAAAGAGGGAGAGATAGGAGAGAGAGCTTCCATCCACTGGCTCACTCCCCAAATGCCAGCAACGGCCAGCGCTGGGCCAGGCTGGAGCCAGGAGCCAGGAGCTTCATCTGGGTCTCCCACACGCTGTCAGGGCCCCATGCGCTTGGGCCATCACCTGCTTAGCTGCATTAGCAGGGATCAGAAGCGGAGCACAAAGGGATTGAAGTGGTGCCCACATGGGGCCAGTCTCAGGCTTGACCACTACGCCACAACACTGGCCCCTCGAGCACATCCTCCCCACCAGGCCAACGGCCCACTCCTATTTCCCTGATTCTTAGGTGTAATAAAGTTGTCAGTCATGTAATTTTCCATTTTCCCAGTTAATATGTGAAATTTCTACAACCAGGGTTCAGACAGCAACGTTAAACCTTGGATAAAACACGAACCTTTGCGGTTGCTTTTTTAAGTTTTTTAAAAAAATTTTAAAATTTGTTTGAAAGGCAGACAGAGAGGTCTCCATCTGCTGGTCCACTCAGCTATTCTGCGGCCAGTGATCTGACTCAGCTTCTCCTTCAACATTTTGAAATTATTAGGTCTGAATGAAAGAAAGTTGTTGCATACCTGAGCATGCACTGGGCCCAGAAGAGAACTGACCTGACTTTGATGTATCTGTAGACCGCTCAGCGGAAAGTCCACAGGGACTTGGGAGCATCTAGAGAACTTCGTATATTAATTTAACACACAGCAGCTTCTTCCACTTTAAAGGGCCACGCAAATGCCCAAAGGATAGGCCAAAATGATAGACTTTTTATGGAGACATAGAAAGAGAGGGAAAATGGTACCAGAATAGAAAGTTGTAGAAAAAAATTTAAATAACAGTGGTAATTGCCACTCTTATAATAGGTACAATAAAAGACCACCCATGGCAGAAATAAATCAATTATACTGTTTAGTGATGATTGAATTATGCTGGAAGACAATCACAATCAAAGAACAATCTTTTGAACAGAATAATTTACTAAGTAAGACTTTTTTTGAAACGTAACATACAAAAGATTGTTAAATGTGCAGCCTAGGAGCTGTATACGTGGAGGTCTTGGCCAGGGTTTTCAGAGCTCTACTCCACTTCACATCAAGCGGCTGTTCTGTGTGGTGTTCTGCTTTGCTTTTTTTTTTTTTTTTTCAGACACCTGCATCTTGAAATGACGAGCCGTATTTGAGCTGGGCTCCTCGCAATAGACTTGCTCACACTGGGATACATGAAATAAGTGGTTTATTTCTGGTCAATGGGTGAACACTTATTCTTGGCTATAAATGAAGGGGATAGTTTAGCTTCTGAATACAGAATGGTCTATTCAATGCTATGTTTTTTCGATGAAGTTTTTTTTTAGTCCTTGATGTCTTAATTTCTTCGCTCTGATTTTCAGGAAAAGTCAAAGGTATAGGTGAAACTGGTATTGGAAACCTTGGCGGCAGACATCTCGCTGAGACCATTTTCACCAGTGATTGAGTTGTTTCTGGAATAGTGGGTTTAGGTGAGAGTTCTTGGCATGGATTTAAAGTGGAATTTCTTTGATTCTTAGAGTCATCATAAGTTGCCATCAGCTGTTTTGTGGTAGGTGAACTTTTTAAAGATGGCGGTCTAGAATCCCATTTATATCTGCCAGAATTGCTCCAATTCCATTTGGAAGCATTCTGCTCAGGCTTGTAAGAACCAGAATTGTTTTTTCTTTTTTCTCGGCTTTTGTCTGCGCAAGATGCCTGAAAACCCAAAGAGTCAGAAACTTTTGACTGTTTTCCTTTTGGTGCAGCTTTGGACGAAGAGGGTCGTTCGGTGAGTGCTGGGGCGCAGAAAGGAGTCTGTAGTCTGGGCTTCTCTTTCTGGATGGTTGTGTGCTGTAGTCGCTCCAGTTCCAGCAAACGGGCTATCAGGAGTTCCACAGAGCTCTCTGCAGCGTCCACTGTGGCTTTCCAGTTCTCAGACTTGGAGAGGGCCAGCTTGTGCAAGTCCAGGGCGTTGAAGGGCGCAGGCAGGAAGTCGGGGTACGGAAACGCTTCATTGGGCTCCTCGGGGAACGACTCTTCAATGCTTTCAATGGTTTCCGGCTTTAGTTTCAAATCCATCTTTTTAAAATAGCTGAGTAAAGTATCATTCGCTTTCTCGTTTTCTGATAAGTCACTTTCATCTGTTACATTTTCTTCCACGCTGCTGTTTCCATATTTCACATTCCAATTTGGAGCAGATACAGTCTCGCCATCGTTGTCTTCCGTATTTGAACGTGAATTACTATGAAGCTCACTTCCGTCCTTAGAAAAGTCTCCATCCGCGTAAGGCCAGCAGAGACTGAAGGGCGTCGGCAGTGTGGGGAAAGAGCCCACCTGCTTATCAGCCGCAGCACTTGGTAAGGAGTGCTTCAACGTGAACAGCCTTATGGGGCTGCTGTTTACATGAAAGCCAGCTTCCATGGAAGATTTTTTGAATTCCCTTTAAAAAAGAATTTAATCAATGAATAGTATGTTGATTAGAATTCAAATGCTATTAAAATGATATATGTAGCTTTTATCAAAGATGGGTTCAGGTGTACCTCAAATGACATGTGTAGCTAGCTAGCTATACCAGACATGCTGACTCCCAAATATGCTCTAACTATATATAACTATATCCACTTTTAAGTATAGATTAAAATATTAACCAGGCATTCCTTTGTATAAGCACAAATGATGAGTTTATTAAACCTGGCTAACTGGCTAATTATGTCTATCTGCCTATATTTTCCATGCAGTTATTACATCTGAAAATGAGGATATCCAAATCAAACTGAAATGACAGTGAAGGGACCGGCGCTGTGGCATAGCGGGTAAAGCCACTACGTGCAGTGCCAGCATCCCATATGGGCGCCGGTTTGAGTCCCAGCTGCTCCACTTCGGATCCAACTCCCTGATGGTGCACCTGGGAAAGCAGTAGAAGATGGCCCAGGTGCTTGGGCCCCTGAACCCACGTGGGAGACCCAGAGGAAGGTTCTGGCTCCTTACTTCGGATTGGCTCAGCTCGGCCATTGCAGCCAAATGGGGAGTGAACCAGCAGATGGAAGATATCTCTCTCTTTCTCTCTCTCCCTCTGTGTGCCTCTCCTTTTCACTCTGTGTAACTCTAACTTTCAAATAAATAAATCTTAAAAAAAGAAATGACTGTGAAATGTTACTAAGAATTAGGCAAAGACAAAAAGTTGAAGTTAGGTAACTTAACAAAGACTTCTATGTTAGTCACCATGGGTTTTTAAAATATTTTAAACAAACAAACAAAAAAGGAAGCAAACAATATCTATTAAGCAAAACTTATCCCAGATATAGTCCCTAGTGACTTCTTTATTTATTTATTTATTTATTTTACAGGCAGAGTGGACAGTGAGAGAGAGAGACAGAGAGAAAGGTCTTCCTTTGCCATTGGTTCACCCCCAAATGGCCGGCCGCAGCGCACCGCGCTGATCCGATGGCAGGAGCCAGGTGCTTCTCCTGGTCTCCCATGGGGTGCAGGGCCCAAGCACTTGGGCCATCCTCCACTGCACTCCCTGGCCACAGCAGAGAGCTGGCCTGGAAGAGGAGCAACCAGGACAGAATCCGGCGCCCCGACCGGGACTAGAACCTGGTATGCCGGCACCGCTAGGCGGAGGATTAGCCTGTTGAGCTGCGGCGCCGGCTCCTAGTGACTTCTATCCAATGGTGGTCTTCAATTTTAGGAGTACTACTTCTAGGTATTTTATTGAAATGAAGACTGCAAGAGAGGCCATAAATAGTGAGTTTCTAAGTTTTTTTTTTTTTTTTTTTTTTTTTTTTTTTTTTTTTTTTTAAGATTCACCTATTTATTTGAAAGGCAGAGTTAGAGAGAGGAAAAGACAGAGTTAGTGCACTCCCCAGATGGCCAAAATGGCCAGAGCTGGGCCAGACCAAAGCCAGGAGCTAGGGGCCTCCTCTGGTTGTCCCACACGGGTGCAGGGGCCCAAGCACCTGGGCCGTCCTCCACTGCTTTCCCAAGCACATCAGCAGGGAGCTGGATCCGAAGTGGAGCAGCTGGGTCTCGAACCGGCACCCATATGGGATGCCCAAGTTGAAGGTGGCAGCTTTACCCACTATGCCACAATGCCGGCCCCAGGTTTTTTGTGGGTTTTTTTGTTTGTTTGTTTTATAAGAGAAAGAGAACTCGAAATACTTCCATTGAAAGATCGGATGCACTGACAGACGTGCGGTCTCAGTACCTTCTTTTTTTTTTTTTTTTTTTTGACAGGCAGAGTGGACAGTGAGAGAGAGAGACAGAGAGAAAGGTCTTCCTTTGCCGTTGGTTCACCCTCCAATGGCCGCCGCGGCCGGCGCGCTGTGGCCGGCGCACCGCGCTGATCCGATGGCAGGAGCCAGGAGCCAGGTGCTTTTCCTGGTCTCCCATGCGGGTGCAGGGCCCAAGCACTTGGGCCATCCTCCACTGCACTCCCAGGCCACAGCAGAGAGCTGGCCTGGAAGAGGGGCAACCGGGACAGAATCCGGTGCCCCAACCGGGACTAGAACCCCGTGTGCCGGCGCCGCTAGGCAGAGGATTAGCCTAGTGAGCCGCGGCGCCGGCCTTCAGTACCGTCTTTAGAGCTACTTTACATAAACAATAACATGGCTGGACGGATGTTGAAAAAAGACTCTACACAAAGCGATAAAAACGTGCACACATAGCTAAATAGCAGGCAAACCGCCTTGCCTTTGGCAAACCACAGGGAAGTCACCCTACGTCTCCAGCTTTAACAGACCCGACTCCATGAAGCGTGGGGGACAGGAACATGGGACCAGGAAGCAGGGGGCCCGTGTTCGAACGCCCTTGCCTCCAGGGGGCAGGAAAATCCACTCCTTGACTCCCCAGTGAACCGGGCCGGGCTGAAGTCAGGGCTGGAACCTCAGTCCAGGTCTCCATGCGGGAGCCATCCCCGGCCTCCCCAGGGTCTGCAATGGTAGGGAGATAGAAGTGGGCTCAGAGCTGGGAAAGGGACCCAGACACTGATGCGGGACGTGAGCGTGAGTGTCGCAGCTGCTGGGCCAAAGGCCACTCTGTAACCTGTTTTCAGGAAGCATTACAGCTGGTTCTAATGCCAAGTAGTTTAAAGACCAAAAAACAAGAATTAAAGTGCATGGGAAGTCAGCAGCGATACCGTGTAGTGGCTATGAGAACGAACCAAGCTACTACTGCAAACCAGCTTGACCATCCATCAAACGTGCGGCTTTGGGCAAGTTACTAACCGCGCCACCATGTCTCAATGTTACCTGTAGAGCATGGGTGGCGACAACAATGCCCTTCTTCTTCTTCTTCTTCTTCTTCTAAGATTTCATTTGTTTATTTGAGAGGTAGAGTTACAGGCAGTGAGAGAGAGAGAGACGGAGAGAAAGGTCTTCCATTCTCTGGTTTACTCTCCAAATAACCGCAACAGCTAGAGCTGAGCTAACGAAGCCAGGAGCTTCCTCCAGGTCTCCCACATGGGTGCAGGGGCCCAAGCACTCGGGCCATCTTCTACTGCTTTCCCAGGCTATGCAGGGAGCTAGACCAGAAGAGGAGCAGCCAGGACTAGAACCGGCACCCATATGGATGCTGGCACTGCAGGCAGAGGATTAACCTACTGCGCCACAGCGCTGGCCCCAGTGCCCATCTTCTAAGATTGGTTGAGTTATGAGTAAAACATATACAGAATGCTAGTGACTGGCAGATGGAGTAGTACTTTCCCATTATAGTCCTTTCTCCTTCAATGCAAAGTCTAAACTGTCCATCGAAACCTCCTATGAAGGGCGCCGTGAACTCTCAGTGCTTATCCACATGCGGATTGTCCTGTGGCATCTGCAGCCACTTCCTGTTTCAAGGTGAATTTCCAGTTTCTCACTAATCACACACAATGCTCCTTCCTCCGGTGGTTTGTGGGCTCATCCATGTTTAAATTTATTTAGGTAAATTGGAGTTTTACAAAAACACAAAACTACTCTCTTACCTGTTCTCCATGGTGCTTCCTTCACTGAGAGGAGAACTCCACAACTGGAATATGTCCTGTTCACTCTTCTGAGAATAGAGTAAGCAGGGACAACACTTTACTAACTGCACGTTTTCAAAAGATGACGACTTAGGAGCATGAAGAACCGAATCGCACCTGTGTTCTTCTGTGAGCCTGCTCTGACAAGTGAAGTTCTAGCCTCGGCTTCTCTGCTGGGGTTTCCAGATGGTTCTACAAAACACCAGGAGACTTTCAGACACGACACACCTCTGCAGCTTATTCCCGTTCTAGCAACGTGTCGCTCTTATTCCAACCAAGGCGCATTTCCTGAAGCCCAGTGCTCTCCCCTTATAGCAGAGAAATCACTTTTTACTGATTTCAGCAGGAATTAGGATAATCTACTACAAATGCCAGCTGGTGCTACCCAATGGGCCCTGGATATCATGAGTAAGACAATATAAAGACAACTCTTTATTCTATAGCTGCTTTATTAAAGTTTGATCAAAAGTGGAAAATCAGCTTTCCACTGGTAAACTCCCACTGCCTTGGGCCGTCTTGAGGCCTGAGACCACTTCTCTATCAGTGACTAGAAAACATCACATTCACCAGGATGTCAATTTCCGCTTCCAGTATTACACTGAAACAAACTTAATATGCAACAAAATATTGATTTCGTGACCAGTTTCATGTGTGAAGAACTCTACAGAAATAACCTTGCAAGTTTAACTTTGAGAAAGAAAAATGTCAAGGAACACACAAATAATTTTAAAGCGGTGTTTTTTGAGTTGTTTAAATACTGATTCTTACCTTGTTCATTGTGCCTGGAAGAACGGGTGTGAGAGAAAAGCAGAATTAATAGTTACATGAGACTGGTTGCATTCTAGCCCACCCCCTTTAACACGAGCGTTCCAATAGGAACATAAACATACGGGACTTCTTACCGCTGGCGGCATTATCCCTTCCAGGAGTGTTCTTATTTTCAGGAACAGGTACTTCCGCATCCAAATCCCAGTGAGATAAGTTCTAGAACAATAGTTGTTTCCGCATGAGCGCCACATGAGGACAGTCTAGGAGGTCACGTGCACCATTCCACGTGCTCTTTGGGTAAGGAGTGATAAGGGCAGGAGGCTCGGATCCCCGCTCCCTCCTAAAGACACTGCCCAGGATCTCCGAGGAACACGCAGTGTTCTCTCATCAAATCATCGGAGCTTGACGACACCCACTGTTCAGGGACTGGACAGGCTTTTACAACAGCCCACGGCTCGCATTTTGTTCAGTGACTCGCAGGTGTTCGAAACTGATTTTCAAAGCACAGTGGAACGCCCGGTTCGGCGTTTCACACACATCAAACTCTGTGTCTGAGGGCCAGATCTGAACACTCATACAACTTCCCAGCAACCAAGAACATCTAATCCTGGTGCCATCTGCGACACTAACGCCCCCTACTCATTCTGAGTTCGGGATGGTGAGAAGGCTTGGAGAAAACTCAGAGGAAAGAAACAGGGATGAAAAGGCAAAGGTCCTATCTTTGAGTGTATGTTCCAGACATCAGAGCGCGGTGGGTGAGAAGTGGGGGGATTTTTGTTTTTAATAATTTCTTCTGAAAGAGAGAAAGTGATGATGTGATTAATTTATACAAAAAGAAATTTTTCTGAGACTGAACTCGGCTGTTTACTATTTTACACAAGAAAACCTTTGTGAATGAAAAGCAAAGCAAATGAGCCGTCAGGCGTTGGTGGGCGTCATGCCCACACTGCGGAGGAACCGGCAGAAGCTGGCTTCAGTGCGGCCTGAGGATTTAGTGAACCACAGAGCACTGTGTTCTGCTACACAGGGCAGGTGAGGCCTGGACAACAGGCTGCACAGTATCTTCTTCTGGAAGCTTTGAAAAAGCAAACATAAAAGTAACGGCCTGCTGTCTGCTGTAAGGGGTGTGAGATCTAATCTGCAAGAGAAGCACTGCGGAGCTTTTTAAAATGAAGAATTGGACAGACAAAGACTGTAGGTTCCAACTCAGTGGGATGAGGGGGACCCGGGTATTTGTGTTCGGAAACCCGCCTGGTAGATTCCCAAGCTTCTTTCCACTGTGGAATCCCGTTGGGTGTGAAATAACCGATCAGAGAAATACCCTGACCCGAAAACAGTAAAGGGAAGTTGGTGTGAGTTATCCAGTGACCAAACTTGTCAGCCGTGAAGGCAGGCCAGTCAACGGAACGTGAAGTCAGCCAGCTTACAAGTCTCTAAAAGGCAGGGGCTTGCGTCTTTTTTCTGGTATCCTGTCTGCCTCACCCACATTTTTCACAAGGCATCTGGGAGAAAATTCGATCAGGCAGTGTGTCCGACTGATCACAAGGTAGGCCAGTGGCTTTAGCAAAACTCAATTGCAATTAAGATCTGGAGACAAGTTGGCTAACTTTCCCTCGGCTAAAAGAAATAAAAAAATTTCCGTTTGCTACGGGAAACCTCAGCAGTGAGAGCCGGTGGGAGCCGGTCGGTCTTGGCGATGAGAGGTGCTGTGGTGTGCAGTCCGGTGGCTTCCACCATACCTCAAGAGAGACGTCTGACGCTTGTAGGCTGCTGCCACAGCTCTCACCATTTCTTCTCCCCCTTTTGTTGTAGCTGCTCCTGGTTTTCCTTACAATCCTGCACAGGTTGTGAGACAGACACATTCATGGATAAGGTTCAGCATGAGCTTCGGCTTTCCATGTCGGAGGTAAAGAAAGGGCTCCCTAAGCAGCAGGAATGAGGAAGGCAAGGGGCAGCCGCATCAGGAGGTGCCAGGAGCCCACCCACTGAACATCTGACCACAGACTGGGAGAAACGAGACCCCAGGTAAGAAGATGAACCACAGATGTGTGGGGTGGGGGGATCATGGTCAGGTATCTGGAGCTTGTAAAATAGGGCCCGGGATCTGCTTGCATTCATTCATTAATCAAGCACTCAACACAGGGTTCTAACTACATCTGTTGGGAGCAAGCAAGCACATTTCAGAGGTCTTAAAGGCACACGCAGGGGATCCTCTCGCCGCCCAGCTACCATGGGGTCTAAAACACCACCGCCGCTTGCAAAGGAGCCAGAGTCCTCTACCCAGCCTAGCGCTCCCGGGGCTGCGGACGGCTGTCTGGAGGGGGAAACAAAACAAAGCCACGGACCAAACCCGCCCCGCAGTCTGAGTGCTGACTGCGGTAGGTGGTGCTGTAGGTTCTGCACCACCGCCTATGGCGCAAGCCCTGGGACTGAAGGAGGGCGGGAGAGGGCAGCGGCCCAGCCGGGGCGCCCAGGGGTGTGTCCAGGCTGCCTGGAGGGGGCAGCGGGCCCCAGCCCAGGGAGGGGGGCGTGAGGCCGGGGCGCCGGGCGGTGGGCGTCTGGGGTTGGGCGCAAGGCCTCCATCCCGTGGACAGCAGGCGGGACCTGCGGGCAGGACCTGCGGGCGGGCCCAGGACAGCAGGCGGGACCTGCGGGCGGGCCCAGGACAGCAGGCGGCCCCGGCGTCTTACCCCGCGGCGCCGCAGGCCCACGTGTCCTCCCCGGCGTCCTCTCCGGGGGCGCCGCCGCCCCGAGGCCCCGGCGCCTCCGCGTGCTGGACGAACGGCTTGACGGGCGCCCCCTGCGACTGGGCCTTCCTGCAGCGGGCGGACAGGAAGGGCAGCGGGCAGCGGCCGGCCCCGAGCGCCGCGCCGTGGGCGGTGGCCGGCCGGCGAGGCCCGCGGGCCGGCGCCGGGGCCGAGGGCAGGCGGGGGGCCCAGGCCGGGCCCACGGACGCCAGGCGAGGGCGGAGCTGCGGCTCCGCGGCCTTGGCCAGCGGGCAGGACTCCCGGCCGCTCCCGCGGAGCTGCAGCACCCGCGGCGGCCCCGCATTCCACCGGTACTCGGGGGCCGCCCAGGCGCGGAGCCACTCGGGGCTCACCCGGCCGCCGGGCCCGCGGGACGCGCGGCGCCGCCAGGGCAGGGCGCCGGGCTCCCGCAGGGGCAGGTCGGCCCGCTCGGCCATCGCAGGCCGGAGGTCGCCCCGGGCTCCGCACGGCCGGCCGGGGCCTCCTCCGAGACTCCCCGCGGCCCGAGCGAGCGGCCGGCCGAGGAGGGCTCCGCGTGGCCCGGGCCTGGCCCGCAGCCTGGACGGAGCTAAACGTACGTATTGGCGCCCATCCAGGTCCAGTGAGGTGTAGACATGCACACTTCTAAGGTTGACATTCGTGCCCAGGGAAGCGACGTGGCCCTCCGAGACGGGGCGAGCCCGCCTCGGGTGGGTTTCCGGTCAACAGCCGTTCTTCCACGGGGGGAATAAAACGTTCCCTTCTGTGTTTAAACACATTTGGGTTGTGGAGGTCCGGTTCTGCGCCCCCAAGGCACACCTCTTGGGACAGCGCCATGACGTAAGTTGGAGGAGGGGAGAAGTGAGGATGTGTGTGGTCTCCCACAGTGGGATGGACAAAGCTGGTTGTCTGTGGTTGTAAATGGGGAGGAACCGGTCCCTTATACTGTTTTGTAGTCAGTCTTGGACGTGTGAGGGAGACTGGCTGGCTGTCCGTTGCTGATATTGCTGACTGAACACCAGGCTCTAAACCCTTCGATGGTCCCATAAATACCTAAACACGCGCTGGCTCTGCACGCGGGCAGGGGCGCGACTCCATGCCCCTCTGAGAAGCGTCCCAGGAAATGCCCGTGCGGGTGTAGGATGCAGGCTTTCTCGGGGTTGTGACCCTCACCCTGCCCCCATCCACCGCCTGCCTGCTCCCCAGGGCGTTCCCATTCTCCCTTCCGAAAGAAGCCGCCTCACCCACCTTACTCTATTTCCTAGCATCCTGTTTTTATTTACTTCTTTGTACTCCTCATAATCTTCTTTTAAATACATTGATCTGAAAGAGACACAGAAGGGGGAGAGAGAGAGAGAGAGATGGAGGCACATTTTCCACCTGCCGGTTCACTACCCAGATGCCCACAAAGCCCGGAGCCTGGGACTCAGCTGGGGTCTCCCACGTGGGTGGCAAGAACCCGACTGCTGGAAACATCACCTACTGCATCTCAGAACATCAGCCAGAAGAAGGATTGCAGAGCTGAGACCAGAGACTGGCACTCCCACATGGGATAGTTTAAACACTAGGCCAACTGCCCATCCCCTCACTGTCTTTGTTGCCCTGTTTCCTTTTTAATTGTGTGTCTCTCCGGTAAAACTCCACGAGAGTAGGGCCTTTGCCTATCCAGTTTATTACTGAATTCTCATCACTGTAAAACTTTGCCAGCGGAGGTTGGTGTTTGGCATCGCAGTTAAGAACCAACTTGGGGTGCCTGCACCCCTGTCAGAGTTCCTGGGTCTTTTGAGTCCCAGCTCTGCTTCCAACTCCAGGTTCCTCCTCATGTACACTCTGGGAGCCAGCAGGCAAGACTCACACACTTGGGTTCATGCGTGGGAGACCTGCGTTGAGTTCTGAGCTCCTGGCTTCGGCCTCAACCAAGCCTAGCAATTTTTTTTAAAAGATTGATTTATTTATTTGAAATGCAGAGTTACAGAGAGGCAGAAGCAAAGAGAGAAAGAGAGAGAGAGAGAGAGGTCTTCCATCCACTGGTTCACTTCCAAGTGGCCAAAATGGCCAGGGCTGGGCTGATCTGAAGCCAGGAGAGTTTCTTCCAGGTCTCCTATGTGGGTGCAGGGTTCCAAGGACTTGGGCCATCTTCTGTTGCTTTCCTAGGCCACAACTAAAAGCTGGATTGGAAGTGGAGCAGCCAGGACTTGAACCGGGGCCCATAGGGGATGCCAGCACTGCAGGTGGCAGCTTTACCCACTACACCACAGTGCCAACCACAAGCCTAGCTATTATAGGCATTTGGCGAGTGAACCAGCAGGTAGAACATTATCTCTTTCTCTTTTCAAATAAATGAATATAAATAAATAAATACATTTTAAAGAGGTAGGAAGCTGGGCTGGCACACAATAGGAGCACAATCAGTGTGGGTGAATGAGTAAGATCTATGCAGGCCTGTCTCCCTGCCACCTTTCTGGAGGCCCTCCCCTCCCACAGGCTAATTCCCAAACTGCTCTTACAATGTGTGAACCTGCTCAAAAACCCTCCCAGTGCCTGAAGAATAAAACCTGAATTCTGCAGCCAGCCTTAAAGTGTCTGCTCACCAGCCTTCCTTCCCAGTACACATGACCTGTCAAACACGTCAGACGGTTTACCCGTTTCCTAAATACCTCTCCCTCCCAGGGCATACATCAGTTTTTCTCTTCCTGTAACAATGCCTCCTCTCTTTTTTACCTATACAGTTGAACTATAGTTATGTAATTTTAGCTCACAAGTCAATTTTCTTTACTGCTCAAAAAGAATATACTGCTGCCTCCCCTACAACCTATATTTCCAGTTATTTTATCTTATTTTATTTATTTGAGAGGCAGACACACACACACACACACACAGAGCGCGCTCCCATTCACTAGTTTAGTCCCCTAATAGCCAGGAGCCAAGAATTCAATCCAGGTCTGTCTTGTAGATGGCAGGGACCCAAATACTTGAGCTATGACCTGCTCAACGCCAGGAGAGGCGTTCACAGGAAGCCAGGGTTGAGCGCAGAGCCAGAACTTGAACTGAGCTATTCTGTTATGGGATAGGGGTATCCCAAGTGTCATCACTGGGCTGAAACCCCTTCCTTCCAGTTGTATCAGGATTTATTTACAATTCCTTATAATCATTCACTTACATCAGTCACTACCTTCTTAACACCTCAAAGGTGGTGCCCATGTTCTGTCTAGCAAAGTGCCTGGCATAAAACAGGCACTCAATAAATGGCTGAATGAATTTAATTCTTGGCAAAACTAATATGTGCCAGAGTACGTGGGATGGTTACCATAAGCCAGGCACATTGCTGAACACTTTGTGTGGATTAGCCAATTTAAACTACGAACAACCCAACGAAGCAAACAGGTCTTACTAGTTATTCCTATTTTGTAAACGAGTAACCTGAACCTTAGATACACTAAGTAATTTTTCTCAGCTGACGATTACTTGAAAAACAGTGAGTTGGGGTAGGCACTGGAGTCCTGGCTAGCACTTCCTAGGCTGTATCCAGCTGTTTTCCTGCCTCTGCAGACAGAGTGCGTGTGTGTACAAGTGTGCAGATTCCATCTCCCCTGTCCCTGGCTTCGGAGTTTGGTTCCTTCTCTCTCCCTTTGTCTCAGAGCCCTGGACTGATGCCCGATGCCCCAGTGTCCCTCTGGGATGTGCCGTCCGTAAACGCATCTCCTCAGATCCTCCCACTCCTGAGAGCACCTGTGACCGCCCCACTCCGCTGCCCCTCCTTTCCCTGGAGACTTTTGAAAGCTTTGACATCAGGATCAAAATCATGGGCCGGCGCCGCAGCTCACTAGGCTAATCCTCCGCCTGCACCACCAGCACCCCGGGTTCTAGTCCCGGTCGGGGCGCCAGGTTCTGTCCCGGTTGCCCCTCTTCCAGGCCAGCTCTCTGCTGTGGCCAGGGAGTGCAGTGAAGGATGGCCCAAGTGCTTGGGCCCTGCACCCCATGGGAGACCAGGAGAAGCACCTGGCTCCTGCCTTCGGATCAGCGCGGTGCACCAGCCTTAGTAGCCATTTGGGGGGTGAACCAACAGCAAAGGAAGACCTTTCTCTCTGTCTCTCTCTCTCACTGTCCACTCTGCCTGTCCAAAAAAAAAAAAAAAAAAAAAAAAATCATGGTTACTTCTCCCTGACGCTGGCGGGGAAGGCTGTGCTGACGTGTAGTGACAGGGTCTGGCTTGGCCCTCACCCAGCCAGGAGCTGGATGGCAGCCATTCCCCATAGTGGCCCAGGTCCAGCTTTAGGACCAGTCCTTGGCCTAAGAGAAGGTACTTTCCTTCCAGGCCATCCCACGGCCCTGCGCAGAATTTAGTTTTTAGGGTTAGACTCAGGCTCGCCTTGCCTTAAACCTGCACTCTTTACCTAATCCAGAGTGCAACCATGCTTTCAGACATGAAGTCGGACAAGGCAGGCCCTCTCCATCCCACAGCACTTAGCAAACTCCGCTCATGACAGTGGAGGCGCGTGAAATCAGGGAAGAAGGCCCGCCTTGGGCCGGGCACTCAGCCGTTCCACTCGGCACGTCCTGGCAGCAGTACTGACCCCTACCTGCTGGGAAACACCTTCCTTCCCACTGTCAGGATTATACAAAGCAATCTCGGTAGCAACTTTTCTTAGTTTCTGATTATTCTGCAGGCAAAAGCCTTTTACTTCTGTCTACCTTCCACAGTGCTTTTTTCTATTGAAAAATTTAAAAATGTATTATTTTGGAGCCAGAGAGAGAGAGAGAGCGCGCACTCCCATCTTCTGATTCAGTCTGCCACATGCCCGTAAGAGCTGGAGCTGGGGCTGGGGCTGGGTCAGGCCAAAGTTAGGAGCCAGGAACTCAATCCAGGACTCCCATGTGGGTGGCAGGGACCCACTTATTGCCTGCTGCCTCCTAAGGTGTGCACGAGCAGGAAGCTGGAATTGGGAGCAGAGCTGGGTCTTGGACCCAGATACTCTGATAAAGGATGCAGTTTCCCAACCTCGGAGCCCAGCTGCCCGAATTTCCACACCGTGATATTACCCATCCCTTGGCCCACTTCCTTTACTTTTTCTTTCAGTGTTGCCAAGATCATGGCTCCCTTCTGTGGAACCACAGCATCTTGTCCAGTGTCACCGTGCCCAAGTCTTCAGAAACTCGGGACATTATTCCAATAACATACACGACACCTTGTGAGCGCTTTGTAATTAGTGGTTGGCCTCTCTCTCTGGTCTGTTCTTTTTTCTTTTCAGAAACTGCTTTGTCCTTGAGGAGCGGCCGATCACTCTTGACCCGGCCCAGGACTCCGTTTCTGTAAGCATTCGTCTTACGTAGCCTCACCTTCTTGTGTTCCTACCCTTCCTTTCTAAGAATGTAGGCAACTGTTCCTACTCTGAAGCTTTGTCTTAAAAGTTGACCTCTAACACGTTGCTTCCTTGGAGTATCTTACTTGGGAGGCCACCGTTTTGCTGCAAAAACCTTGCTTTATCCCTGGAAAGAGCAGGATAGCTGCGAATGTGAACATATTTCCAAAAGGAGAATGAACACATTGGTCAGGTGAGCGCCTGCATCTGCCTGTGCTGCAGCTAATACTTGGGATGCATCGTCGGCCACACGTTGCCTCCTGAACTCTGATTCTACTGCAAGACTGGATTCCCTCCCTTGTGAACAGCGCCAGGTCCTCTGCCTTCAGGTTCTCTGCTCTGGAGCCGTGTTGGCCTCGCCTGGCGCCACAAATTCTCTTTAAATTATAGCTTCAGGTTCAATCTCAGAACTTACTTTCTGGTACAAGGAAAGGCGTAGCTCAGCTCGAGTGTCCGGTAGCTGGGAGCCTGCCACTTCATTTGCTGGGAGCGGAGCACTCTCTTCAGAACGCTTTCCTTGAGAAACTTGGAGATGATCTTCTCTCTTTGAATGTTGCAGAACGCTTTGTCTTCTGGAAGCCAGCTGGCCTTCTCGCTTGTCCCGCGGCAGGGAGAGTGGGGATCGTGTTTCGAAGACACCACCACCCTCTTTGGAACAAAAAAAGGGGATTGATGTTTACCTAAAAGTGGTGAGCCAAGGATCAGCCTAACCAGCAAAGCATACGCTCCGGGATCAATTTAGTTAATAATCCACTGCTAGTGCCCGAGAGGCCGCTGGCCTCTATAGCAACTCCTCGTCACAGTGAGACAGGACACTGGCGTAGGCTTTGCTTGGGCGAAAACAACAGGGCACACGGAGAGGTAAACACAGGGCGCTTCAAAGAGTTCACGGAAAAAGAGTTCAAACGGGTGTAGACTGATGCCCCAAATTTTTGAAATCCATGCCTAGTTTCTTCATACTGTAGTTCACATAAATCTAAAGATTTGTTTATTTATTTGAAAAAGTTACAGTGAGAGGGAAATCTTCTGTCTACTGCTTCACTCCCCAGATGGCCACAACAGCTCAGGCCGGGCCAAGCCGAAGCCAGGAATCCCGTCCGGGTCTCCCACACGTGTGTCAGGAGCCCAAGCACGTGGGCCATCCTCTGCTGCTTTCCCAGGCGCAGTAGCAGGGAGCTGGCTGGGGGGCGGAGAAGCGAGGACTCCAGCCGGTGCTCATGTGGGATATAGGTCTCAGGCGACAGCTTAGCCTGCTCCACAGTGCAGGCCCCCTAATGCCTATTTTCTACGAACATTTTTGAAGACACCCCCTGTTATGTGTGGATTTCAAGTTTTTTTTTACATCAAAATAAATATATCCTTTAATTCTATTTTCCGTGGACTTCTTGAAGTGCGCTTGTTGGTCACTGAAGAGTGGAAGTGGAAAGCAGTACATAGCAAGAACGCATTCGTTCCGTCAAAGACCCTGAGCACCAGAGGCTGAGACCCCGTTGGGTCAGACCAGGGTCTCACAGGGAGTTAGCCACAGAGCACTGGCCAGCCTTCATTCATGACAGCTAACAGTGTTTTTGACTGATTCCTAAAAGATGCCTTACTTGTTATTAAAGAAAAAGAAAAGCATTCATCAGATAATTTATTTAAAAATGAAAGTGGATGACTGGGACCCACTTCTGATTTACACTGCCAACCAGCCCCAGAGAGCTATGCGCATCCCATAACTTGCTGTGTGCAGCAACCAGTGAGAGCGCACGGGTCGGGCCTGGCACTGAGGCACAGCAGGTCATGCTGCCACTTGCGATGCTGGCGTCTCACGACGGACCGCCAGCTTAAGTCCCGCTTGCTCCACGTCTCATCCAGCCTCCTGCTAGTGCACCTGGGAAGGCAGCAGATGATGGCCCAAATGCTTGGACCCTGCCTGCCCCCCAATTAAGAGACCCAGATGGAGTTCCTGGTTCCTGGCTTCAGCCTGGTCCGGCGCTGGCCGCTGTGGCCATTTGGGGAGTCAGCCAGCAGATGGGAAGTCTCTCTCCCTCCCTCTCTTTTTGTTCCCCCACCCTGTCGGTTACTCTTTCAAATAAATAATATATATATGTAATATATTATATATAAAGATAATATATATTATCTTTTTTTGACAGGTAGAGTTATAGACAGTGAGAGAGAGAGACAGAGAGAAAGTTCTTCCTTCCATTGGTTCACCCTCCAAATGGCCACTGCGCCGATCCGAAGCCAGGAGCCAGGTGCTTCTCCTGGTCTCCCATGGGGTGCAGGGCCCAAGCACCTGGGCCATCCTCCACTGCACTCCCTGGCCACAGCAGAGGGCTGGATTGGAAGAGGGGCAACCAGGACAGAATCTGGCGCCCTGACCGGGACTAGAACCTGGGGTAGCCAAGCAAGCCACAGCGCCAGCCATATATATATTATCTTTAAAAATAAAAGAACACAGGTCATTGCACAGAGCATAAAGTATCACACCTGAACAGATAGATCACTTCCCTGCCATGTCGAGTGGCTGAAAACGTGCTCTGTTCTTTGCTATTTATGTAAATAAGGGTTTAGAGTAAAGCACTCGACTTGGCTTGGGAGAAAGAAGCCAGGGGATTCGTCTCCAGCTGCCAGAATATTCCTACCTCCTCACCCCCACTTATTCCCTTCCCTCCGAAACACCCATGAGAGTCACGCTGAATTCAAGTGATTCTTACTATTCTGAAACATGTTCTAAATAGGTTTGTATTGAAAGTGTACCTTTTTGTTTATTTTTAGAAGTTTTTCTGAGTTTGGAAGATGAAAATTAAGAAGTGAACTTTCATGTCTCCTCCTCTGGACACCGACGTATCACACGTTACAGTCGAGGTGCTGGTATGGTCTCAGCCGAGGGTTTCCCAGTTGGGTAATAGCTGGCCAGCACTATTAGCTTTTGGCATAGCCTGCGTGGCTCCCTCGCCTTCCCCGGTTCTAACTGTTCTACAATTTGGTTCCCTAACCAGTGCAGAGTAGATAATGGTGAGGAATTGGGCTGGAGCCTGGAAGTAAGGCACAGCTATGACAATTTCTGATATTTTGGCCAAAACTGGCAGTAGATTCTGGCAGCTTCTGTCTTACTCTGTACTGTGCTATCAAGCTTGGCAGTTTAAGATTAGTTAGTACTTCTATTGTCTCTGTTCTTTTTTAAATGTACTTATTTTCATTTTTTCTGAAAAGAGACAGAGAAAGACGAGAGAGATTGTTCCTCTGCTGGTTCATCCCCTAAATGCAAGCAATGCCCAGAGTTGGGCCTGGTGAAACCAGGAGCCTGGAGTGAACCCCGAGTGCCGTGTGGGTGACGGGATCCAGACACGTGAGCCGTCCCCTGCTGCCTCCTTCCTGCGCGTTTGCAGGAAGCAGGATCCAACGAGGAGGAGCTGGGGCTTGAGCCAGGCACTGCAGTGCGGAATGCGACAGGCACCCCGAGTGGAACTCAGCTGCTGTCCCGATGCCCACCCCTGTCGTCCGCTCTCTGGCCTGCAGCACAGAGCGGCTTCCATAACGGAAGGTTTTAAGTATGTTCTTCAGTGCTAGCTTGTCGGGGGAATTGAAGTAGCCCCTTGACAGTAGGGACTCCATTATGGGGCACTTGAGACTGCATTCTGGGAAAGCACCCCTCCCACCATGAGACTCGGGTCTGAAACTATGATCTCAAATAGTCGGACAATAGCAGTGCACCACATCACCCTTGGCAGAGCACAAAAACCCCCGAGCATGATTGCTCAAGCTTAAAAGTAGAAAGGTTGCACCTGGGTTACCTGAGCTAATCATGAAGATGGGATTTGTCTATGTCTTAAGATCATAATTGCTGATTGTAAGATTTTAGCAACCACTTAGCAGCCGTGTATTCTCTCCCCCCTCCCGATTTTGCGGTTTTTGCCTTTATAAACCCTATGCTGTAGTTCCTCGAGGCTCCTCTGTTCTTGTATGTTCAGAGAGCCCCAACATGTTGGATCAATAAATCTTTAACCCTTTGCTGGTTGCATGAGAGAAAGTCTCTTGGAGTCGTTCCTCGGGCGGTGGGCGTTTTCAGACCCTAACAGAATAACAGCCATTTGGCTTCTTACCTGTGTTAGCCTGGGCATCACCTCCACTTGGGACTACGCACCTGCCCCTCAGCTCTGCCAAGGAGCGCGTGCTTCTCTCCTGGTGTGACTCGCTCCTTGTCCTCTACTGTGGATGGAGTCTTTAACTGCCTACACGGAGGGTGCACGGCCTCCCAAAGGCCGGATGAGGAAACAGCACCCGAGGTGTGCAGTTGGCTGCTCCCTTGCCGTCAGGAACGCTCCCCGTTCCCCTCAGAACTGACTCGTGTCCGATCGGGAAGCGGGAGTTTGCAGAAAACCCCTGAAAGACCCGGCAGGTCGTTTTTGACAGATTGGTGTCTCGCGCTTGGACGATCCGGGGTGAACACTCCGGGTTCCAGCCCAGCATCCGGGCCATTGTGACCCTCAGAATGCAAAGGGCCAGGAAGTGGGTTCCACTGCAGCCTTGCTGGCGACGGGAGGAAGCCAGGAGGAAGAACAGCTGCCAGGCTCTCCACTCGTCCGCCCCGGCCTTCGTCCTCCGTAACTCCGCAGGCCAGCATGGGAACAGCCAGCAACAACCCCACCGGGCTCAAGTTTCCGCCCCTCGCCGCAGGCCAGCTGAAGAGCTACGCTCACCCTGACGTCCTGTGCCGCACCTTTGAGACTCTGTCTAACCTCCACGTGCTGCTCCCAAGTCATCTGACGGAGAGACTTTGTTCCTACAAGAGTGAAGAGGACCAGCAAAAATGTACGTGGCGAGAGGGTGCCTGTGAACTCTCTTTAATAAGCATGAGCTTCATCTTGGTGCGGACGGCCTTCCTTAGCCATGGCGCGTGACCCGTGTGTTACACTGCACGTGTGTTCAGTCCCTGAGACCCGTGGCCCGTGCACGGGCTCCTGGGGCCTTGCTCTCAGAGCGAACCGTGGAATTAATCCGTGCACGCATCGCTTTTTTGTTGTGCCTTTTGTCTACATAGTCGTTGATGACTCAGGAGAGGTCTGTCCTCTTGTTTAGGCAAAGCATACTTATGGGAAGATGGCCCAAGGGGAAAATACCACCGCAGTTACTATTTGAGCCTTGGACTTGATTTTAAGATGAGTGAGAGAATGCCCACGTGGAAGGTCAGGCTTTGAGCTTCCTTCCTTTCTCTATTTCCTACTGCCCCTTCCTCGGATTGCCAGGGTGGCACCACCCCGAGAGCAGCTGACCGTTTCCCTGAGGGCGCTAGGCAGCCTGCAGTCTTAGTGGCAGCCACTCCTGAAACCTGGCAGGAAAGTGGATGGCTGGGCCATGTGTGGAGCTGGGCGGAGCCTGTCTCCCGATTGTTCGTGGGGAAGGGCGTGAGCACGGCTGATGGTAGTCACCCGTACTCATGAACTAGAAGACGAAGTACAGCTGCCACAGTAATGAAGCCGCAGTCCTAGGAAGGAAAGTAGGTGTTGGTGTCGTAATTTAAAACCATTGTGGCAGAGGTGGCTGTTCATATCTGACTAATCCCTCGCCCCCGAATACAGAGCATTGTGAATCTGTTGCAATATCGATTACATAAAGAACATATAAAATACCAAGAAATATATAAGGAATCTACCAGAACAAGTGAATCTATGGGCAGGCAACCTCATAGGATGGACTACAAGTCATCCAGAAGCACAGATGTCCACGCGCTCTGCCATCAAGGAAGTGCAAGATAAATCCAGGAGATACTTGGAGGCCATCATGCTGGTTACACTGAAAAAGGCCGACGGTGACCAATGTGGGGACGTTAGTGCCCCCCCCACCGTCGGTGGCACGTTACTTGATTTCATTCTGGAGGTTGAATCTTCACTCTGATGATTGTTTGCTGTGCAGAAGCGTCTTCGATGGTTGCGTGTAATTCTATTTAGTTTTGCACTGTCGCCTGTGGCTTTGGGGTCTTATCCACAAGATCATGACGTGCAGCAATGTCTTGAAGGGTTTCCCCCACGCTTTCTTCGCAGTTTGGCCTCACCTTCAGGTCTGTGATCCGTTTTGAGTTGGTTTTCGTTTAGGTGAAAGTGGGGGAGGACCAGGCTCCCCTGTTCTGTGGGTCTCTGGTTTCCCCAGCACCATGCGTGGAAGAGCCTGTCCTTCTTCTCAAAGTCAGTCTAGTAGATGTGTACATTTATTTCTAGGAACTTGGTTCTGTTCTGCCGATCTGTGCATCGCTTTTTACGCCATCACCAGGCTGTGTTTTGTGTTAGTAGCTCTGCAGGATGTCTTCAGATCAGCTGTGTGATGCTGGCAGATTTATTCTTTTCGCTCAAGATTACCTTGGCTATTCAGAGTCTTTTGTGCTTCCATGTGAATTGTAGGAGTTTTTTTTTTTTTTTTTTTTTTTTTTTTTTTTTTTTTTTGACAGGCAGAGTGGACAGTGAGAGAGAGAAACAGAGAGAAAGGTCTTCCTTTGCCGTTGGTTCACCCTCCAATGGCCGCCACAACTGGCGCGCTGCGGCCGGCGCACCGCGCTGATCCGATGGCAGGAGCCAGGAGCCAGGTGCTTTTCCTGGTCTCCCATGGGGTGCAGGGCCCAAGCACCTGGGCCATCCTCCACTGCACTCCCTGGCCACAGCAGAGAGCTGGCCTGGAAGAGGGGCAACCGGGACAGAATCCGGCGCCCCGACCGGGACTAGAACCCGGTGTGCCGGCGACGCTAGGCGGAGGATTAGCCTAGTGAGCCATGGCGCCGGCCCATGAATTGTAGGAGTTTTTTCTCTGTCTGTGAAGGATGTGACTGGTATTTTGATGAGGATTGCCATGAATCTATACATTGCTTTGAGTAGTATGGATGTCTTAACACTATTCTTCCAATCCATGACCATGGAAGGTCTTCCCATTATTTTATGTGTTTTCTTCAATTTCTTTCATCAAGGCTTTGCAGTTTTCATCGTTGAAGTCTTTCACTTTGCTGGTCAAATTTATTCCTGGATATTAAAGTGTAATTTTCAGACTGAAACTGCGCGAGTCTTGCTGTGAGGCTGGGGAAAGGGGTTGTAGTTTTCTAGTGCGATTCCGATTACGTATTGACTTGGGTGGTGTCCTCGTGGCCTCCCACAGAACGCACTCGTCAACACTGATGCACCCTGGGCATCGGGCAGGTGCTGCCTCGCGCACCTGCCATCATTGCTGTTAAATGCTCTTGCTTCTGAGCCGTGTGGGCGGCGATTCCTCCCTGTGCCTGGCGGTCAGCTTAGAGACGCGGTGAAGGGATCCTTCCTCCGAGCCCCAGGTCTGGCATTCAGGGACATGATCTGGGGGAGAATCCTTTCATGGGGGCACCCTGGCTTTTAAGGCCCTGAAGTCTAAAAAGCTGTTTCATTTCCCAATGTGCAGTGATTGTCTTCCAAGTGCAACCTGAAGAGACGACCCTGTTTCTCATACTTCGATCCATCAGACCATGAACGTAATGACAGATACCAGTGTCTCACTGGTGTGGTGTCTAAAACCTTCCTTCTGGTAGGGATGGTCTCTCTCCCCACCAGCTCCCTCTCCATCTGAAAGGAAGCTTTGCCTGTGTTGTATTATTCCGGTTACCTGGAAGTGACCAGGTTATTGTATTATTGTATTGTTGTACTATCCTGGTTACCTGGGGAAGGAAAGAAAAAGAACTAAATGCCTGTAGCTGAAAACCAGGTTACTTTAAGGAGTTAACTCATAATGATATAAAAATTACAAGTGAAGATCTCCTGTACCACGTGCATTTATATCAACTGGGGCTCAGGTAATTGTCTCCAAAATGCCCACAGCCGCTAGCTGCTTGGTTGTCACAGCACAATAAAGGGGTTACTCTGAAATCTCACTGTTACTGATTGTACAGCATGGGATGCAGTCCACACACCAGCTCCCCGATCGACCAGCACCAATCCAGACGGGAGGAAGAAGGAGGAAGTTTAAAGCTTCTGTTTATTATCGTTTTTCATGCCAAAAAAGATACATCTGTTGGTGGATTCACTGCTTTTCCCAAAATCTTTGAGAGGCTGCTTACCTGGGGGATGGGGCCGTCCGGGGAGAAGTGTGGCAGCAGGAGCAAGGTTTCCATCGCCGTGGAGACTCACAGGGCCACTCCCAGAAGCAGTGTGTGCGTTCACAGGCTGACGGCCAAGTCCATGACCAGTAGGAACGTGGAAGAACATTACGAGGGGCAAATAACAAATCACCTTAAATCCTGAAGTTTTAAGCTACCTATATTTGTGTCACTGGAATACACACATACCCCACAATGGATTGATATAATTGTATCACATTTGATTACTAATCCATCCCTCCATCCACCCATCGAGCAATCCATCCTCCATCCATTCATCCACCCATCCACCCATCCGTCTATCCATCCATCCGGCTGTCATCCACCCACCCATCCATCCATCCACCCATCATCCACCCTTCCATCCATCCACCCATCCATTCTGTCCATCCAACATGTATTTTTTCCAAACATCAAAATAAGAAACAAGACCTTCAAGCAGCTTATAGTCCAATATCTGCAACATTTCTTCTATAATTTACACTTGATATTATTTTACTTCAAATCATTTCTTGAGGCATCTCTATGCTTACCAATTTTCTCTCAAATACCAGAACACTTGCTTATAATGTCAAACGAGGCTGGTGCTAAGGTCTAATTAAATATTCAAAGTGAATTATACATTGTAAATCTCCCTGTGGTGCCGAATACTACAGTGTAATTTTTCATCTTGGAGAACATGAGACTTTGTAATTTTTGTCAAATGTTGTATATTCTCTCTCTTTCTCTCTCTCTCTCTATATATGTATGTATATTTGTGTATATATATTTACGTCTATGTATGTTTTATCCCTAGCTGCTAACAAAGGGTTTGAGACACTTCACCATTCATTTGAGGCACAAAAAGTTAAAAATTGATGTTAACAAATACCTGAACTGAGCTAATTAATTCAGTTGAATCTCAGGTTTAGTTTTGGAATTCTGGTTCCCAAAGCAGGCAAGACACTGCCCTCTGCTTGGGTTTGCACTGGGAGAACGTTGTTCGTACTCCAGCTGGGCGATCGTTGGGTGGACGGAACGCTGGAAGGAAGGACACAGCCGCTGGCCCCCAGGCTTCCCTGTCCTGTTGTGACCCACTGGAGTGATGTGGAGGCCTCCGAGGATCCGTATGTGCATCGAGACATTTTACCATGTAGTCAGATTGCCAGCCAGGGTCCCTGGGGCCAAGCCTTGGAGCTTTGGGGTCTCTGCCTGTTGCCGGCCAAGGCAGGGACTGTCAGTGGCTCAGCTGGGAGAAGGAGGAGGAGCCAGGCCGACTCAATGCGGTTCCCACGCAGGCTCCGTGCTTCTCTGGGGGGCCCCGCTTCTCTCCCCGCCTTAGGTCTGTGACAGCTGCCGTCTTTTCCAATCCGCCCAGATGGGGTGCAGAGCTGCTCCAGCCGTGCTCTGTAAACTGGCTGTGGGTTCTCCACCTGCGCCCAGCTGAAGTTAAGACGCTTCCCTTGTGGTACAAGTCCACAGAGCCACTGAAAACACCTTGCAGTTCAGCCGACCCTGCCTGCCTTCCTTCCCCTTTGCATTGAACTGTGTCCTAGCACAAGCTCCTTGTCCCGCTGCAGATTGGCAGTTCGGTTAGGGGTCAATTCAGGGCAACGTGAACCCACGTCTGTGCTGTAAATGGAGAGTGTGGTGAACACTAGGATGACTGAAGGAAACAATAATTGCACAAAGCTTAATTCACTGTGGCTTGACAGGAGAGGGACTGGAGTATGGAATTCTTGCTGCCAGGTGTCACCTTAGCTTTCAGTGTGTTCACCCCACGTCCCTGCCAGCGGACACAGATTTCTATAGCAGCAGCCAAGACTTCTTTCCGGCCCTTGCCTGCCTTCTCCTAGGCTCAGCTACTGGGTGAAGCGTGCCCCTAACCCTTACAGAGAGTGTGGGACCCCCCTTCTCCTGCAACGAGCAGCAGCACCCACGAAGCAGGTTCACCGTGCACCATTGCCGACTCGTCCTGATCTTGTGAGACAAAACTCTCTCCTCCCCGCCCCCGCCCCCTCCAGCACAGTTACAGGAAGTGCATGTAGTGCTGACAGACAGGCAACAGGGACCTAGGCTCTGTGGTCAGTCAGTGCCTGGCGTGTGGATGGAGGCTCGTCTGTGTGGGCCCACGCTTGCTCTGCACCTAAGAGGTGACAGAAAGCAGTCCGCCCTAGGTGTTATGCCCTAGGGCCACACGGGTCCCTGGGCCAGGGCCGAGAAGAACACCCTGTTACAGGCAGGGGGCTGGGACAGAGTTGAGCTATTCTGAGCAGCTCTTCCTTTATCTGAGATGTTGCATTCCTAGCGCATTCTGCACCTATTCTTGGGAATGACAAATGAGGTCACCTAGAGGACGGGCCTGTGCACCTGCCTCTCACGAAGCTGCTGGCCCACCAGGGAGCACAGTTCTTCCGTTGCTGCTGAGATAGGATGTGAGCCCCCACCTCATTTTCTCAAGGAGGGTTTACTGTGCTGGCATCATTGCTATACCACTGGCCACCCAGAACATTCCAACGGTAGGCCACAAACTCCAGACGCCCAGGCTCCCAATTACTGGGGCCCTCAAGGCAGTATATTTCCCACCAGCACGGCTTTTAACAGAGTGAGCAAAACCATGTTGGCCGGAAAGGCATTTGGGGAATCAGAAAGGATCAGTAAGTTATATTTTCAGTTCTCCCTCATCAAGCATGCTGCTGCTTTTGGCTGTGTTCCTTTTTTCAGTTGCTGCTGTTTTAGTTGAATTCTTACATCATAGATTTTGCTCGGAAAAATCATCAGTAAAAGGGAGCCCCACATTTTGGGGCTGGATAACAGAGTTTACTCAGTTTCTTCTGAGAAGGTTCAGAATGTCTATGCCTGCATAAATATGCCGTAAAAGAGAAAATAAGAATTATAACAACAGCCGGCGCCGCGGCTCACTAGGCTAATCTTCCACCTAGTGGCACCCGCACACCGGGTTCTAGTCCCGGTCGGGGCGCTGGATTCTGTCCCGGTTGCCCCTCTTCCAGGCCAGCTCTCTGCTGTGGCCCGGGAGTGCAGTGGAGGATGGCCCAGGTGCTTGGGCCCTGCACCCCATGGGAGACCAGGAGAAGCACCTGGCTCCTGCCTTCAGATCAGTGCGGTACGCCGGCCACAGCAGCCATTAGAGGGTGAACCAACGGAAGGAAGACCTTTCTCTCTGTCTCTCTCTCACTGTCCACTCTGCCTGTCAAAAATAAAAGAATTATAGCAACAATAATCATAGAGAGTAACTGGCCACTAGTTGGAGAACCGTGCGCAGATCGATGGTCTTCGTGGTGGTCCTGCACCTGCACGCCTTGATTGCTTGTCCATTCATTCATTCCTTCATTTGTGGTGCATCTGTTATGTCCAGAACCAGGTGAAGATCTAAGTGTTGTTGCTCAGTTGTATTGCTGGAAGGAAGGAATGACTGAGCCAAAGAAGAATCAGTAAGCGGCGTGAATGTTCCCTCTCGAATCAGTGCTGTGTCACTCTCGCTATGCAAACATGGAAAGGAACATTGACTTATAGCACTGCTTATCTGTCACCAGGTGAGGATCCTGAATTCTCCGGCTTGGAAAAGATCTTGTCAAAGTACCGGCTGCCGGAAGAGGTCCATCTGACCCCAAAGCCAAGCAGAATGCCCTCGTGGAAAAGGAAAGCCATCAACAGTCTAGGTGACGGGTGGAAGAAATGCCACTTGTGGAAAAAGAACACAAAGGAGCCTCCGATGTCCACCATAGTTGTCAGGTAGGCTCTGTCTTCTATCTCTGGCCCACGCAGACAGATTCAGAGAGAGTGAGGTGATCGCGAATGTTCTTTAAGCCTAAGCTTAAAAAATACATGACTTAGTGAGGTCTTTGAGAAATACAGTGGCTTTGAAAACAAGCGTGACTCTCTCCAAAAGCACACAAGCCCACTTTCACACCCCCTGTGCTGCTGGAGGAGCCCTCACTGGGAAGAAACTCAGGAAACGGGAGCAGGTGTGTGAGCCTGCCCTGGGCCGTAGCCGCCTAGACTAGTGAAGCGGACAGGTAGCAGGGCTGGGGAGGCTTCCTGCAAAGGGGCTGACACACTGAGAGGCGGGGCTTTCTGGCTGCGATGGGTGAGGAAGCACCAGCCCCACGGTTGGCGTCACCAGGGGCGAGGACACAGTGGGACGACATGGTAGAACCTTGCCTCTACCCCTAATCTACCAGATCTTATGCTGAGAGAGATGGCAAGCCAATGCAGGGTCTTAACGAGGATGGCCCCATGTGACTCAAATCCTCTCCAGCCCCCAGGGAAGAGAGGGTGGAAGCAGGAGACTCACTGTGAGCGTTTGCAGTTACACAGGTGCAGGAGGGTGGCCTCAGACCAGGTGACAGCCACGGGCACGTGGGACTGGCTGGATTCTTGTGCTCAAAGTCGAACGTTTGGGTTACTTGGAAACTTGTTTTGGCGCAGTGGGTTAAGCCTCCACTTGCAATGCCGGCATCTCATTCAGAGCCCTGGTTCAAGTCCTGTCTGCTTGGCTTCCAATCCAGCTTCCTGCTAATGTGTCTGGGAAGGCAGCGGAAGAGGTCCATGTGCTTGGGTCCCTGCCACTCGTGTGGGAGACCAGGATGGAGTTCCTGGCCTCTGGCTTGTGCCTGGCCCAGCTCTGGCTGTTGAGGCCACTTGGGGAATGAACCAGCAGATGGAAGAGTGCTCTCTCTCTCTCTCTCTTTCTCTCTTGGTGGCTTTGCCTTTCAAGTCAGTCAATTAGTCTTTTTAAAAAATAAAATTACTTTTGACATACTTGCTTCCCTGCATATGCCAGACAAACAGATGATGTTGATGTTTTATTGCTGGACAATATCTAATAAATGATGCTACACTTGGCACATAGTAGGTAGTCACAAAGTGTTGTTGCCAGGCTGACAGGAGAAATGCATCCTTTGCTATAAACATGGAGCCTCTCTGATTAGAAGGCACAGATGCAGGGCCAGCGCTGTGGTGCAGTGGGTTAGCGCCCTGGCCTGCAGTGCCGGCATCCCATATGGGCACCGCTTCTAGTCCCAGCTGCTCCTTTTCCAATCCAGCTCTCTGCTGGGCCTGGGAAAGCAGTAGAAGATGGCCCAAGTCCTTGGGCCCCTGCACCCACGTGGGAGACCCAGAAGAAGCTCCTGACTCCTGGCTTCGGATCGGCCCAGCTCAGTCTGTTGCGACCATCTGGGGAGTGAACCAGCGGGTGGAAGACCTCTCTCTCTGTCTCTACCTCTCTCTGTAACTCTGTTTTTCAAATAAATAAAATTAAAACAAAAAGGCACAGATACAGGGAGAGAGCTCCAGCTCATGGACTTGCCAGTGCTGGAAGCTTCCACAGGCATGTTTGCATAGTGAAATGACGTCATTGTCTATTTCCTGTGCAGTGTCCACAGTGGCGTGAAGTGCTGACTTGATCTAGAATCGGAGCTGGAGGCAGGCATGGCCTGGTATTTAGGATGCCACTTGAGGCACCTGCAGCCACACCGGAGGGCCTGGCATTGAGTTCCAGCTCTGCTCCCAACTCCAGCTTCCTGCTAATGCACACCACGGGGAGCAGGAAAAGACGGTGTGAAAGAAGGCTGTCATTGAGTAGATTCACCTTGAATGTGTGCCCAGAGAAGGGTAGAAGTTATTTTAAGTGATGATTCCTGATTACTCAAATTAAGAGTATTTGACCATGCTTTAGAGGTCTACTAAAAAATTTGGGGAGGGGTTTGTGGTGCTGTGGCACAGTGGGCTAAGCCTCTACCTGTGTCCCAGCTCCTCTCTGATCCAGCTGCCTGCTTGTGGCCTGGGAAAATAGTGGAAGATGTCCTATTTGTTTGGGCGTCTAGGGACACTTGTGTGGGAGACCTGGAGGAAGCTCCTGGCTTCAGATCAGCTCAGCTCCGGTCATTGAGGCCAACTGGGGAGTGACCCAGTGCATGGAAGACCTTTTTCTCTGTCTTTCCCTGTCTCTGTGACTCTGCCTCTCAAATAAATAAATAAAATCTTCTAAAAAAAATTCAGGGTCCGGTGCTGTGGCTCAGTGGGTAAAGCCGCCACCTGCAGTGCTATCATCTCATATAGGCACCGGTTCAAGTCCCGGCTACTCCACTTCTGATCCAGCTCCCTGCTGATGCACCTTGGAAAGCAGTGGCAAACAGCCCAAGTCTTTGGGCCCCTGTACCCACATGGGAGACCCTGACGAATCTCTTGGCTCCTGGCTTCAGCCTGGCCCAGCTTGGGCTGTTATGGCCATTTGGGGGAGTGAACCAGCTCTCTCCCTCTCTTTGCATCTGCATGTCCCTCTGTGTAACTCAGCCTTTCAAATAAATAAATGAATCTTTAAAAATTCACATTTCACAACCATCAGTTCCCAGCCATAAGGTCTCCACATGAAGCGGATGTAATTTTTTTAGAAGATTTACTTATTTATTTGAAAGGCAGAGTTACAGAAAGAGAGGGAGAAACACATCGAGAGAAATCTTCCAGCTAGAGCATCAGCATATAAGAAATGACACATGGGGCCGATGCTGTGGCGTAGTGGGCTAAGTCTCCGCCTGCAGAGCTGGCATCCCATATGGATGCTGGTTCGAGTCCTGGCTGCTCCACTTCCGATCCAGCTCTCTGCTGTGGCCTGGGAAAAGCAGTAGAGGATGGCCCAAGTCCTTGGGCCCCTGCACCCACGTGGGAGACCTGGAAGAAGCTCCTGTCTCCTGGCTTCGGGTTGGCGCAGCTCTGGCCATTGCGGCCAATTGGGGAGTGAACCATCGGATGGGAAGACCTCTCTCTCTCCTCTCTCTCTGTCTCTACCTCTCTCTGTAACTCTGTCTTTCAAATAAATAAATGAAATCTTAAAAAAGAGAGAGAGAGAGAGAGAGGGACGACACGTGAGCTTTTGTTTTATCAGACGTCTCTCTACATGCGTGCGTTTGCTTTCTTTAAAAGCACGGACGGGCTGACGTACTTCTGTGTTCCCAGGGCTGCAGGTTGGGGTGTGTGGGAAACAAGCGCTGAGACGGAAACAAGGGTGCCACGGGCTCCCCGGGTGCTGTAAATGGAAGTGGAGGGCAGGAGGCAGAGCAGGGTGAGGATCCAGGAGGCGGCAGATGGGCTCCACCCCAGAGGGAGGAGCCACAGTGCATCGCCAGGGGCCTGGAGACAGGACAGACAGGAGAATCGGGACCATTGTGCCCTCAAAGTATCATGAACTCTGTTCCAAGAGGATCCAGTGCTGATGGTGCCTCCTGGCCCTGTCCGCTGGTGTCTCAGTCCTCCTTCTGTTGGTACAGCGAAGTACACAGGGCTGGGTACTTCCTAGAGAAAAGGGGTGTATTGAGCTCACAGTGTTGGAGACTGAAAGTGCAGGACTGGGAGGCTCCAAGTGCTCATGGGTGGCATCACACCAGTGCAGCAAAGAGCATAAGAGACAGGAAGCCAGAGAAACTCAGGGGCCAGACCTGCTCTTTTTATAACAACTCATTCTTGCCAGAACTCACTCACTCCCCCAGACCACCAAGGGCAGTGCCTCCATGACCACAGCACCTTGTCCAACACGCCACCTCCTAGAGTTTCATCCCTCGAACAGCCACCCTGGGGATGATGTCTCTAGCACGTACACCTTTGGGGGCACACTCAAACCATGCAGAGCGGCACCTAGTGGCATGGTAAATACAGCCCCTGGACAGCGTTGTTTGTTCTCAATCCTGTGTGACTTCACCAGCACCCTTGAGCTTGCACACGGTTTAGCAAGGCCAAGCCTGGCTTTTACTGAAGCGTTTTATCAAGAATAGCTTTTTCCACTCTAATCACCACCAGTAATGCTGCAGACTCATGTCCTTGGATACCTGTAAAATGGTGCTGAAAATATATATATATATTTTAAAGATTCATTTATTTTATTCATTTGAAAGGCGGAATTAGAAAGAGAGGAGGAGACATACACACACAAGAGGGAGGGAGGGAGGGAGGGCGGGAGGGAGGAAGGGGGAGAGAGAGAGAGAGAGAGAGAAACAGATATCTTCCATTTGCTGGTTCATTCCCCAAATGGCCACAATGGCCAGGGCTGGGCCAGGCCAAAGCCAGGAGCCAGGAGCTTCTTCCGGGTCCTCACATGGTGGCAGGAGCCCAGGCACTTGGGCCATCTTCCACTGCTTTCCCAGGTGTATTAGCAGGGAGCTGGACCGGAAGTGGAGCAGTGGGGACTTGAACCACTGCCCACATGGGATGCTGGCACTGCAGGAGGAGGCTTTACTTGCTATGCCACAAAGCCAGCCCCAGAAAATATCTTATCTTGCATCTGGTAGAATGGTGAAGCTGATGGAAAAATTCCTGTGAAATTGCATTGTGACAAGCACCGAGTGCCATTTGAATGTGCAGTACAGTAGTTTCACACATGGACTGAGCCAGCTGTAGGTGTTGGCCTTGATTTTGCACTGGCAAACAACTGCACAGGTTATACGTGTATCCCCACTAGTACCGAGAGCAGGGTCTTTCCGTCACGTGGTTTCTTGGTCTGTTTTGCTGTCACAGTAATTAATAAAGAGGTTTATTTAGGCTCATGGTTCTAGAGGCTGGGAGTTCAAGGTTGGGTGGCCACATCTGGTGAGGGGAGCTGGGAGGGTATGTTCAGAAGAGAAGGATAAAACATGGGGGACAACCTCAACAATTAGCAGCCCACTGTCACGGCAATCAGGCCAGCCCAGCAAGAATGGGAGTTTGCACAGTCCCTGAGGAAGGCATTAATCCCTGTTAGCCAC